TCGACGTGAAGAGGGACGAGGAGCAATGGCGACCTCTATTAGCACAAGCTCAAGAAGTTCTGGCGCGAAGAGTGCAGAACAGTTGCTTCCTCGATATCACCTCCGACCTCTACCAGAAGATACTTCCTCTGGTACCCTGGCAGATCATGAATGTGCAGATCTCCGTACTGCCAAAGGCGAAACGAGTCCGGCCTGGGCTCGAGAGGTGCCATCGTTGTTCGGTGCTGTTGCAAAACGACGACAAGCTGCTGATCGAGACGGAGCATCTTCCATCAGCCCAAGCACCACGTGAACGGTTTGTCACACCCGTGAAGGTTGGCATCTTCGTTCTGGGCTACGCTCCGGGTGATCCACAAGATCCAATTCCAGCACGTGTCGAACAACGGGTGCAATCAGTGCCTGAGGGTGAAGTCGTCAGCGACCCTCTAGAGGAACCGCTGGACGAAGCAATGGGCCAGCAAGGCCTTGCGAGAAGAGAACACGCCTCAGGCGAGTGTTGGTTCATTGGGCCACCACTCCGACATGAACAGCGGAGATTGGCCCCGAGTCTGGTGAGGATGCATCGGAATTTGGGACACCCTCGAAATGAGGATTTCGTCCGAGCCCTTTCACAACATGGCAAAGTCGACCCTGAAGCAGTTGCCTTGGCGCGCAGACTTCGATGCGCTTCTTGTGAAAGAACCAAGAGGCCACTTCCACCAAGGCCTGCCTCACTGAAAATCATTGGCGGGTTCAACGAGAAGGTGTGCATGGACTTCGTCTTCTCGCACGACGCGCTGGAGGAGAAGCACACCTACCTGCACATCCTGGACCCGGCCGGCGGCTACAACGTCTTCATTTGGATACCATCCAGATCCCCGAAGGTGGTGCTCGACGCGTTCACAACAGCATGGGCGTCTTGGGCCGGATTCCCTAGGACGGCCTGGTTGGATCGGGATGGAGGCTTTGAGGCCGACTTTTCTGAAGGGCTACTTCAAGCAGGCACCGACCTCGACGCCATTGCGGCTGAAGCACACTGGCAAGCAGGCGAGGTCGAGAGCTACAACAAGGCCTTTCGGTACGTAGCCAACAAACTGATCGACGAGAAACAGTTTGCGGGCGAAGAACAGATGAAGATGTTGGGCGCTATGGTTGGCGCCGCCATGAATGATAAGATCAGGACTTGCGGGGCATCCGCAAACCAATGGCTATTTGGCCGAAATCCTCGGGTGCCAGAAGACCTTCTCAGTCCTGACGGCCGCATTGAGGCTATCCGAGGCTTGGAACAAGATGAGCAGTTCAGGCTCCGGAACTATGTCAGGGCTCAGGCCGACATCAAACTCTCACAATACAGAATCGATGATGCTCTGAGAAAGGCAGTCTTGCGACAAGGGAGACCTACGAGGCTGAGCTATGAGCCAGGTGAGCTCGTTGCGTTTTGGCGCAACATCAAGAAAAGGAAAGGCAAAATACTCCAACCAGGGTGGTACAAAGGCACTATCGTTGGACCACACCGTGGAGATGACTCACCTGGACAATCCAATTACTGGGTCACCTCCGGGGGCCGTTTGATTCTGGTCTCAAAGGAGCAGCTACGTCCGACTTTTGGGACGGAGCGGTGGCGCATCCAGGAGGACGACCTGCAGAACATGCTGGATGACTGTCCGGAGGAGTACTTCGATGAAACTGGAGAACCACCTCCGGAGGAGGCTATTCCAGAAGCACGGGCCGAAGAAGATGGCGAGGTTGTGGTGCCCTACTACCCCGCGTCAGATGATGAGGTGCCTTCACCTTCCTTGGCCGACTCGGCCGATCTGATGCGACAAGATCAAGAAGGTTCTGCCCCATCAGCTGAGTCCGTTGGTACGGGCACAACTCAACCACATGCTTCTACGAGGGCACCGGGCACACCGGTACAACATCTTTTTCGACCTCCAGCTCTACCTCCTGATCTATATCAACTTCCTGAAGAACATGCACATCCCGGTGAATCAGGCGACGCTCTTCCCGAACCGGCGCCGAAGAAGCCCCGGATCCAGTTTGAGGACGAAGAGGCGCCGGACAACCTCTATCCGGAAAACGATCAACTTCCTGCAACAGGAGTGGAAGTCGCAGCACAATCTCGCGCTGCACTTTGGGGAGTACATGTTCAGAAGGAGGACGGCAGCATGAATGTTGCCATGACAAGGAAGGACCAGAAGGCACTAGAGAAGGAAGTGCCTTGGGAGATGATTCCTGAACAACAACGGCCGAGCTACGAGGAGGCTCTCCGTAAGGAGTGGGACACCTGGACCAAGTACTCAGCTGTCTCGGTGCTGGACCCCGCAGCCTCGAGTTGGGTCGAAGAGAACGTCTCCAAGAACCGCATCCTACAAACCCGAGTTTGCTACAGGAACAAGAACGCGGCCTACCCATGGATGCCTCTCAAGCCGAAAGCCAGATTGGTGTGTCGCGGTGATAGAGACCCCGATTTGCTGACATTGAGACGCGACGCACCCACTATGACCAGATTGTCGCTGCTGATTATTCTTCAACTGGCGGCATCCTTTGTGGACTGGTTTATCTTCAACTCCGACATCACCGGAGCCTTCTTGCAAGGAGATCAGTCAATGGCAAGTCGCAAGGAACCACTATTTTTGCGGCAGCCAAGAGAAGGACTACCTGGACTTCTACCTGGTCAACTGATGCTGGTGGTGCGCGGCATCTTCGGTTTGGCAAATTCGCCAAGGCTCTTTTGGCGACACCTTCGCGACACTTTGTTGCGCATGGGCTTCATCCAGAGCACGCTGGACAGGGCGCTCTTCATGTACTACAAGGGGGACAAGCTGGTGCTGGTCTTGGGCGCCCATGTGGACGACCTGATAGGCACAGGTGCACCTGGAGATGAAGGAGCCGATGGTATCCTGAAGCAGCTCAAGGAGGCCTTCGATTTCGGTTCATGGGCAGACAGCAGAACCGACGAAGTCCTCGAATACGGAGGTAAGCAGATCACTCGACAAGGCCGAGTAGTAAAGCTCACACAGAAGAAGTTCGTGCAGGCAGCTACGCTATCGAATGTGCCCAAGTGGCGCGCAGCTACGCCCAACGCCGAGTTGATGCTCAAGGAGCATACCGAACTATGCTCTCTTGGCGGCTGCTTGCACTGGCTGATTGGACAGACACGTCCTGACTTGGCAGCTGCTACATCTTTGTATATGGGAGGTAAACCTACGGTGAACCACCTGCAGCAGTTGAACAAGTTGGTGAAAGAAGCCAAAGCATCAGAAGACTGGGGCTTAACTTTCAAACCTGTGGAGCTCGAGACGGCCAAGATCCTGGTTTTCTCCGACAGCAGTTGGGCAAATGCGTCGGAGCTGCGTTCGCAAGCTGGCTTCATGGTGCTCATAGCAGGCGCAGGTGTATGTGAACCAGAAGGGGACACAGTCAACCTGATCGACTGGCGTTCCCATAGGATCAAACGTCAGTGCCGCAGCACACTTGCTGCTGAGACGATGGCGATGGATGCAGCCATGGATGCCGGCATCTACGCCCGAGAACTTCTGTCAGAAATACTGGTGAAATCGTATCATCCAGTCCAATCTGGCAGGCTACCCTTTAGTCTTTTCCCAGTTGTGGCGGCGACCGATTGCCGGAGCCTATACGACCTGCTGGTGAAGGACGGACCTTTAGCCGCAACACAAGAAAAGCGGCTTGCCATCGACTTGGTTGGCCTCAAAGAAGCGGCCAGCGAGATGGACCCAGAACTTGAGAAGCTCAAAGAGGTCTACAAATGGGTAGCCACGGATCATCAGCTGGCGGACCATTTGACCAAGGTCAAGCCGGCCTACATGCTGAGGGAGATCCTGAGCCGAGGACACTTGGCTATCACCGTGGAGGCCTAGAGATCAGATCCGATGGTCTTCACTCAATTTTTCACTTTGGGGAGTGCAAGTTTGTATGCATTCCATAACCATTTGCACCTGCGGCTGTAAGGGCCCTTGAGCATTGAGGAAAAAGCAGCTGTGCATCGCTGCGGTAGCCAATAGGTGTGAACCCCTTTTTAGCATCTGATAAGCCTTGGGAACCAGGCTCCACTAGCCCTTTGGGTGTCACATTGAAGTGACAACTTTGCAAAGTTGACCATTCCGAGATGATGATCGCCCCACACTGGCGTAAATCTGCCAGTGAAATTTCACGTCGTCCCGTTAGAATATTGCACAGTCTAGCCATGATGCTTCGATTTGAGATGATTCGCCCTAGTGATAGACTCAAAACAGGCTGCTTGAATTATGAGCATCCACAATTGAAGCTATAATGTCAATATTCACATTCCTTTTAGTAATCCCTGCCATACAGTTCGCCAAATTCGACCGGTGAACGTAACTCCCCCGCCACAATAGAGTGCGCCAAGCGTTTTTGGGGATGATTTGTGGTGAGCTCCACGGCAGGGCACACATGGAGCCGAACACATACCAGAAAGAATGTCCGATAGGATGCCAGAATAGATGCCAAATAGCATGTCAGAAAAGATGCCAGATAGAATGCCAGAATGTATGTCAGATAGAATGCCAGGTAAGAATATATGTCAGGTAGAATGTCAGTTGGTGGGGATCACTCGAAGAGGGTAATTTTGGTGGTGTGTCGTCTGTGTGGTGGTAATATTCTTAAAATAGGCAATTCGTTCAGCAATACTCAAAGGATCCCAAAGCGGCACTTATGTATTTGTTTTCAGTTAGCAATTTGTTTAGTGATCCAAGTCCCCCAGAGATTGTTTGACCTCAATTTTATTTGTAGCCCAAATCTGTTTGAGAGGGGTGGTACTAATCAGATGCCAACATTACCTATGATGGGGCCCCATGAAATCAAGTTTTGCTTGTCATTTGGCATCACTGTTTTTGGTGTTGCTAGAACCTAGACTTCAGTTGGTTTGTGCATACCTAAAAGCGAGCTGCAATGCTTGAAGATCAGCGTTGTTACCATGAGAGCGTGCTGGTTGGAAATCTTTGAGTGGATCTTAGATGATCGGGAAATTAAACATGAGAATGTCAGATGCCAGGTACGAAATTGCAATTCAGATCGCGGTAGCCGGGGCATCTGAATTTCGATTTTTGGACGGCGCAGCGATAAAGCTGTTTCCTTGCTTGAGCATTGCGAAGCAACCTTTTAGGTCTTGCTGGAGTTGCCCATACTCTGCGGTTAAGCCGCTTTTTATGTCCACGGCTTTGTTGAAGTTGACAGGTTGCAAACTTATGCACATGATTGCGAATTCATGTGTTTATTTTGTCGGCGGAACAATGAAATCTTATTCCATGCAAACCACGTAAAACAAAGATGAATAAAATGGGATTACGATGGACCTTGCAGAAAGAACAACATAAACAGAAACATAGAAAACACAAACGATAGCGCAAACACATTTTGCAATGTGTGTGGGATTGTGTTAATTTTGATCTCGAGAGAAAAAGACAATCTTATTTTCTGCAAAATAGATCTTTTTTTGGACGTCACATAAAAAACACAAACATGCGGTAAACATATCAAATGCAACCTGTACGATAATTTCTGGATATCTCGCGAATATTCGCGTTCTGTGTGCTATTTGATGCCGTTTACGTATACGTAGTGTATTAGCACGGGCCTGTGCTCGATTGTGTTTCAGCCTTTTTCCTTTAGTCTCCGAAGATATCATCAATGGATGCAAAAAACTTCCCTGCAGTCTGGACAATACTTAGATAATCTTGTATACCGGGTTGCTTGATATAAGTGTCAACATGTTGTGAAAAATGTTTCCTTCAGACATGGCTGGGAATATTTTCATATATTTTCTAGGACACTCCGGGAACTTCATTGCTCTCAACCAAGTGCATTCTTCCTGAATTGATCATGTTGTCATTTTGAATATGTGGTGTCCAACGTTTTGCCTCCCGAAGTTTCAGATGAGTTCAACCTGCTTTTTGGGGTAGTCTTCTTTTGTGGTTTATCACCAAAAATCGTCGGGAAACCGCCATATGTTTGTTCCACTCCTGTTCTTTTGGGCAAAGGATCTGTAGCGAACTCCCAGGTGACATTTTCCGGGTCACTGGATTAGAGGGATCCCATTTTACACCATTCGGATCTGTCGTTTTATCAGTGTCTTTCGAACTCATTTTTTTTAGGCCCGAACCAGGGGGGTTTGTCACTGAGACCCGCTGGTACTCTCGCCGCGCAGCTCTACCAGAGGTACTGGTGGTACGCGGAACGAGACCGGAGTTTGGGGAGATGAAACTTGGAATTGCCAGTGACGGCCCTGGGAGACACGGAGACAGGGTATTACTACTGTAGCTAGCATGGGAGACATAGTAGGTTTATGCACATAAATCTACATTATATATATATATATTATTATTATTATTCTTATTATAATATATTATTATTATTATTATTATTGTTATTATTATTATATTATTATTATTATTACAGTATTATATTATTATTGTTATTATTATTATTACATTATATAATAGAAATACATTTAGGGATATGGTTGGATGTGTATCCCAGTTGCCAAAAAACTAAGAAATCTGTCACACCCAATTCATACATGGGACATCCTCACAGTTCTACATCGATCGCGATTACCAAGTGGGTCCCTCAAACCTTAGCACAGCTCCTCAACTGGGTACTTAAACCGATTGGCGACGAGTTTGCTTCATGGGCCAGTTTTTGGCTCTATGTACGAAGGAAACATGTATATGATATAATTTAATTTCATATGTTCTACTGTATATAATATGCCGGGGGTATCTGAGCTTAGCCATTTCTGTAGTGCAAGCAAGTTCAGTTCACTTGCAGTTGTGGGCCCTTAACCTAGCTGCCGAATTGAGTGCAACACCAATTTAGCTGCGTGGCAAAACATGGGCACCCTTTCCCTCTGAAGGATGAGACTGGGGGAATGGCAGATGCAAAAAACCAGGTGAGACTGGGGGTGACATCCACTAGGCCGTTGTTTGAGAATATTGATAGACCATCCCTTTGATCTTGAAAAAAGGGTCCCTTCCATGGACTGAGTCCCAAGTTTCCCAAGTTCGAAAGCCCGGAGAATTGGGTCCCTGACTTAGAATTGGGATCCAGATTGCTAAGCCATTCATCAGCTTATCCATAGAATACTGTAGCCCGTATGCAGGAGATCAACAGCAGTGGTTGTTTGGCAGGATCCACTTATAAGTCAATGGGTTGCAACTGTATTTGCAGGATTTTGCAGGTATTTTCCGCTTGTTAGCAGGTCATAGTTACAACATGTTACAACGATCTTTTAAGCTGCGGGGATCGATTTACCTTTCGGCTGCAATTGAAACAAAGTGCCAAGCCTTTTTTGGCTCACCTCAAACCCTCAAGGCCTGATAGAGCGCTAAAACGGATGAACCATGTCCCATTTGCCCAATTTCATCCCATGTTTTCCCACCAAAACCATCCCTAAATGGGTGCAAGATAGGTGAGTTGGTTTTCAAATAGGCCGACTGTCAGACTTTAAGGTAGAGATAACATGAGATAACTATATAATACATGGGGTCAACATACACCAACAAACACAACCGGGAGGGGTCCACTTTCTGGTTTTTCTTTGCAGCTCCTATTCTATCCCCATTATATCATCTATATCCATCTATACCCATATCATATCTCGGTGTGGGTTTCCAGGTCGCAGTTCTGTCCGTTTCAGGATTCACGACCGCCGTGGCACCGTGATTTTTCCCGCAACCGTGATTTTTCCCGCCGCGACGATAGCCGCGACAGCAGGGCACCAAGCCGAGGCCTAAGGGCCCAGCTGGTGGAGTTGCCAGATTTCCCTGTTGGATTGTGATAGTCCCCAATATAGAGTTATCCGGCAATAATATGGTGATAATAGAGTTATACTATATTTTGATAACAATATTACTATATATAGTTGGATTATCACAATATTATATTGTGATAATAAAGTTACATCATGTGGGGTATACTATCATAGTATTCTAATTGTTCATGGATTGTTGAATAACCCCACGTTATAATCAACAAAATCGGATCTTGAACACTGTAACACTGCTCACCCAGTGCCTGTTAGTGACTGGGGTTATGATCCAAGCTGTGGATTTACAAGTGAAGCCACCCAGACAACATCATTGCAGCCCAAGAATGTTGAATCCCCAAATTTGTCGCATTCAATAGAAAGAATCATATAAATGTATTCATATATTCAACAAAAAGAATGGTTTATATAGAGTTACTGAAATTGTTCTTGGATGGCATTCCAGAGCTTTTATTCAATGTCCATGCCTTCAGCCAGTTTTGGGAGCCCCGGAGCGAAGACGAACAGATCAAGCTTAGTATGAAACTATCCCATTTTGCAACCGTCATGGTGAGGGTGGCTGGTCGGTCGCTATAATTTGATGTGATATCCTGACCTCGAGCCAGCCAGTTGAAGCATCATCTCCCACTGGACAGAAAGCCAATGAACGAGTCCCCAGAATGATGGTACCATGCAACGATGACCCCGGCCGCGGCCTGTATCATGATACCCATTTGTAGTTGTAACATGCTTTAGTTGGTAGGCGGCCGTCAGTGTGGGTACTCTCTGATCATTTGTTCCATGGAACTTTATGCCCCAAAACGGCCAAGAAAAACTGCCATTTCGCGAAGTCTTGCAGAGGGACAACATGAGGATCTTGTCACTCTACATGGACTTTGCATAAATTGTTGGGTGAACTAGCAGTGTTGGGGGATCCATTGTCCAATGATTCAGAAACCCTGGTTGATTCATTACGGGGTGACCCCAAAAGTGATGCCATCTGCTGCTATACTGGTACATGACTACCATGAATCAACTATATATCTCATTGAATTTGAATCCCGTGTTTCTTAGAATTTCATGAAATCAGCTTTATATTCTCATTAAATACCATAAATCAACTAAATATTTCATTTGAATCAGCAATTGTTTCTTATTTGTTCTTAGTCAAATCAGGTGAACCGCCCTTTTCCGCTTGAGGTCGCTCGAGGCATCGGGTATCTTGACCTTTGATCTGGAGGGACGTTCGTTTTATTCCCCGAAGAAAATACAAGGAGGACTTCTTTGAAAGGCCATGGAGTTATTTAGTTGATTAGTAGTTAGTTAGTTGGTTGGTTGGTTGGTTAGTTAGTTAATTAGTTAGCTAGTTAGTTAGTTAAGTTTAGTTAAGTTAAGTTTAGTTTAGCTTAGCTTAGTTTAGTTTAGTTTAGTTTAATTTAGTTTAGTTTAGTTTAGTTAGTTAGTTAGTTGATTAGTTAGTTAGTCAGTCAGTCAGTCAGTTGGTTAGTACTCGTTAGTCAGTTAGTTGTTTAGTTTAGTTTAGTTTAGTTAATTGGTTAGTTAGTTAGTCAGTCAGTCAGTTATTTAGTTAGTTTAGTTTAGTTTAGTTTAGTTACTTAGCTAGGTATTTAGTTAGTTAGTCTGAGTCAGTCAGTCAGTTGGTTAGCTAGTTAGTTTAGTTTTGTTGAGTTTAGTTTTAGTTTCGTTTAGTTTAGTTAGCTAGGTAGTTAGTTGATTAGTTAGCTGGTTGGTTCGGTAGTTAGTTAGTTGGTTAGTTAATTAGTTGGCTAGTCAGTTGGTTGGTTGGTTGGTCGGTCGGTCGGTCGGTTGGTTGGTTGGTTAGTTCACTCGTGAGTAAATGGCTTACATTTAGGGATGATTCGTGTCTAAGGACCAGTTTTCAATGGCTTCCAACGGCTGTTTGTACTTGGTAAACCCTTCTGAAGCATGGTGAAGGGTCGGTCAGTACAAATTAACCCTTTATCATGTTGATGGGGATATAGCTATATACAAACCAATTACACGCATGTTTTGCAGGGATTTGAAGGGTATTGAAGATTGGCAATGTTTATTGATATTCTGTATGTGAATATTGTACGTTAGATCAAACGCAGCGTTGGAACTAATGTCTCTGCATATTTCCAGCAGGGGCTGGTACTGTACAAGTCACCTGAACAGTTTGATGGCCAAATTCTATTCTCACCTCATTGTCACTGTCCTTCTTAAAGAAGAATGAGTCAAAACTTCTGGAATTGCATATAGCTGGGTAAATTATAACGACCTCACTGCGACCTCACTGGAATCATGGTTTATAAGGGAAATCATCCCCAAATGGCCTTAATTCAGGTTAGTGAAATATTATAATCTACCCAGATATAGGTCTAGACCGCTTGCAATGAGTGGCCCTCTGATGAGTGACCCTGAGCTGATTAATTGTTTTGTGACCCAATTGCATTCCTACCGCTGTCTTCCTTTCCACTGATTTCTCTAAACATTGGTATTTTGCAATGTTGTTGATAGTGGGGTCTCGAATATTCAGCTTTGAATAGTGATGTTCTGGCTTTGGCAAGAGTTGTCAAGGACTATGACAATGACTACGATATCAAGGAGGAAGAGTTGTCAGAGGCGCGGAATATTTTTAGCATCCGGATCCACTTGAGAAATTGCCAAAGGAGAATCTTCACCAACGAAAATGACTTGAAGAAAAACATCAATGTGGATCCTCTGCAGGATGGTGCCTCCCAGTTATAAGTTGGTTTATAAACCCCATTAACTATAGTTATATCTGCCATAAACCATAGTTATGGGAGTTATAAACCAACTTAGCTAACTATGGGGCACCACCTTGTGTGGATACAGGCCATTTGTTTGTGCTGTGTTCAGGTTTTGATTTGAAGATCACTTTTCCCCAGTTTCCTGGGTGCACTTGGGTACATTGACCAAACAATGTGGAAAAACCATGGACTTTACCAAGGAAAATCAAACATGGGTTTTCCATATCTAAGTTAGTTTATTGGGGGTGTTCTGACTGGGAACTCATACTTTTTCCAAGAAACTAAGAAACGGAGTATGGATCAGTTCACGCATTCCGTACACTGGTGAAGACCAGTTCACAGTGAACGGAATTGTGCAAGCCAGAACTGTATGTGGATCCACCTATGTTTGAGGAAGTTTACACTTTGACTAAGCTTAGCCTTGTTATGCAGTATGGCCCCAGTTTGGAATTAAACTAGATTGTGGCAAACTTTAGCAACTAGTTTTTGGTACCTAGTGAAAAACCGTGAGCCCTAAGCAGTCCAACCTGACAATACAACCAAGTCCCGTCAAGTCCTTGTTGTATTCATTTCCATATTATGGTATTAAAAGTTCTAAAAGATGTGGATGTCCCCGCCAGGATTGATGGGGATCCCCATTTTCAGCGCAGGAATCCCTCAATTTCCGCAAGAACCAGCTGAAGATTATTGTTTAGATTCTTGTTCCGTTGTAAATTATCCAAAAAGAGATTCTTGCGACCCCCATGGGTAAACCTTAATTTGCACCGGTAAAGTCATCATTGAATCACCATTTGTCGCCATTTGTTCTTGGTGATTTTCATCCCTTTGCTGGGGATTTTTGTTTGATTCTCCGTGGTGAAATCGGCCTTTCCGTAGGTCCCAAGAGGTCCCAAGTGGATGCGAGGCTTGATGCTACTCGTAGAATCCCACATTTTTTTGGGGTTTCTCGGGTTTTTTTTTACTCTAGAAATGGGATGTACCCTCTGGTAATTTAACATAGCTATTGAAAATCACCATTTTGTATGGGAAAACTCACTATAAATGGCCATTTTCCATAGCTATGTTAGTAGAAATGGGATGTAACCCATGACCCATGGCTGCCATGGTCCATGGGGATCTCCAGGACTACGAGGAAAGTGTCGTTCCATCCCCTTCTCCTATGGAGCGAGAAGAAGCTACTTGGCCGATGGCCATAACTGGGAATATTCATCTTACCCATATGCGAAGCATGGCCCTGGTATATGCAAACCTACATGACGGGGTGGTTTCAAAATGTTTCAAACATGAATTTTATTTTCCATTTCATATATGGGATGTCATCCTTCCCATTGACTTTCATATTTTTCAGAGGGGTAGGTCAACCACCAACCAGCTACATTCGGGTGATTTTGTTCGGGTAAATGTTGGTAAATCTTCCAGCACCATGGTTCGCATATGGGATATTTATGGATATTTGGCTTATAACCCCAGTTATAAGTAGGGTACAGTACCGGGTACAGTAAGAAAAGTTCAGCTATAGGCGTTGAGCTCCCAGCTCTCCAACTTGAGCCACGTATGAAATGTGTGGAGATTTCAACCAAGCCTTTTTGGGGGATTTGGAACCGACCCTAATGAGGTTTTGAAACCAACATAAGGTTTCTTAACCCATGCTGGTAAGTAAATATAACTATGGAAAATCACCATTTATAGTGAAATTGCTACCATAAACCATAGTTGGTTGGTGGTTTGGAACATTTTTTATTTTCCATGATATGTTGGGATGTCATTCTTCCCATTGACACATATTTTTCAAGATGGTTATTGCACCACCAACCAGCATGCCATGAACAAGTCAAACGGAATTCGTTCAATGTTTTGGACGAAGTATGCGTGGGTTTGTCTTAAGCGCGGGAGATAATACCCTACAGTGGTTGTAGATATTGTGTACCGAATCGGCCCTTTGTTCGAAAAGGACCTCATTTGCGCGAAATTCTTCGAGGGCCTAAAATACACAAGAAATTGGAAATGGGTTCGGATCAACATGTAACATTCAGCCACCAAGCTGTATTGTTTTTATAGCAAAGATGGCCAACGTTGAAGGTCCATTTATACATCACTTTTGAGATTGATCCATTCGATGCTTCACCCGGCGACAAACTGACATGCACGCCCGAACAATTGATTTCTCAAGATGATATCGGATTCGGCTACGGGGATAGTTGGCGTTACACAACAACCAAATGTTCTGTGCAAAATGAACCAAATGTTTGGAGCCTGGATGGTAACCCATGACTTCACTCAGGGCCTCAGGGTGTGGTTTTGTTGATGCCACGAGTGGCGGCCTTGTTAGGTAGATTCAAACCTTGCATGCTTTTGGGTCCTTGGAACAAAGGTCCTATTTTGGTCTTTGAACATGCTCATTTTTGTGGCGAAAAACCACCAACCAGATCATTGTTGGTGAGTCTTCCCAATTTTGTTCTGTCAGTCTGTATGCCCTTGATGTCCTGTTCCCACTGGTTGGTTGGGTAAGAGAGGGTTTGACCTTCAGAAACTGATCCATTCGTGACAAGCAGGTTGAGCAAATGATGGCAACTTGCACACCAAACCGGCCTTTTTGTTGTCCCATTTCGTCTCAGTACCATAGATCATGGTTTATGAATTTGGCAAAAAAAATCCGGTTTGTGAATCATACAATGCTTACTATATTTGCCATTGTCAGACCTCTGAGTTCATACGAGAGTCGAGTCAAACATTGCTTTGTATATCAATACTTGGGGATGCATTAATGGATTCAGATACCCATTATAGTTTGGAATCCTCTTACTCGTATAAGATGGATCTAGACGACCACAAACCATACTTTTACCCATGGCACATATGTCACGAAGGCACTACAACGAAATCACAGTTTATCAGCAATGATCAGTACTGAAATGAATGTGGGATGCATAATAATACCATCAACAATTATCAACCATTTGGGGGCGATTGTAAGTCATGCTAAGTAGGGGTATGCCTGCCAATCGATCACCGAGTTGGGATAGTTTATTGTTGTGGCTCCCCCATCGGATATGAGTGAATTTGCTTAATTTGCTGGCTGATCATTCGCCTATTGATGATCCCATAATTTCATTACATAAGGCTAATTTGGTGTGACTGAAACTGAGGTATACCTCCAAATAGCGATGTTAATTGGGAAACTTCGGATTAACCATGATTAGTCACCGAATTCTGGACCCGATTTTCCATGAAACAAAGTAAGTAAGTTGATTTTCTGCTTGGCGGTTTGGAAGATTTTTTATTTTCCCCAATAGTTGGGATGATGATCCAATCTGATTTTCATATTTTTCAGAGGGGTAGGTCAACCACCAACCAGTTTTGTATGCACAATTGATGGTCAGCAATTTGCCCAGATTGATCACATTTGGGTCTGAAAATACAACACCCCATTCCATCCACTAGTCGATCCTCCCACGAATTGCAACTGGTGACCCTGGTTCGTAAGTTCCAGATAAGTCCCTGAAAAAAGTGGCTTAGTCCCTGGCAAAAAGTGGGTTACCCTCTGGTAAACTAACATAACTATATGGAAAATCACCATTTTGAATAGGTAAATCCACTATTTCAATTGCCATTTTCAATAGCTATTTTGACATAACCAGAGGGTATCGTTATCCCATTTTCTTCATGGGTGAAGTCCGCAGAACCGAAAAAACTCGTCGGCTCCAAGTGCGGCTCATCAAGGTCAAATCGGAGTCCCCGCGTTCGCGTCGCGCTTCGCGTACGCGAATGGACCGAGAAGAGGAGATGAAGGACGACGGTGACGGTGTTGCCCAATTCAAATTGGATCAATCATATATTTTTCAGATTTTATCGTAAACATCGTAAACCCTCCAATCATACAGAAAAGTAGGTTCCTACTAGTTTCGTAGAATTCACTTTTTTTCTTGTTTCGTTTTCTATCCTTTTGGGCGGCTGCTATATGGCTATTGTTGGGTTATTATTGCTATTCGGTTATTATTATTTTTTGAATATTGCACCGAGTTCCGTATGGCTACATGCCGGAAGTGGGTCAGAAAACATACATACAGGAATCCATCGCTTTTGCCCTCCAAAATTCCACAGGATTTCCTCAGCATTCCTCGTCATAATTATCTCTGGGGGGTTGAAACCACAGTTGAACCACCACAAACAAGGTCATGCCTTTGCAAGGGGACCATTTCCCTGTGCCCTGCTCCTGGTTCTCAGTTGTCACGGCATGTGTTCATACTATTTTTATCGGTTGCTCCACCCTATCTTTTTGTGATGGCCATTGTATACGGACCCTTGCCACCAAAACACATTGTAAATTGGATATCAGTATCATATCAGTATCACATCATTCATATTTGACTTTGTTTTTGGAATTTTCATGCTCCCCCACTTTTTCCCCTGTCCTTTTCAAAAAGAGCTACCGTATCATAGGGCCGGTCATGGCCCATATCGCGCGTTTTTAAAGGACGCGCATCCCCAAGTGATGATAACATCATGCACTTGTTGGTAGCTATAATATACCGTATATAATAATATGTCCATATCTGTCCATATATATATATATTAACATATATACATATATATATATATGTATGTATACACATACAGTCACATACAGTCACATACAGTCACATACAGTCAGATACATGTATAGATATATACATAGTAATACATAATTAAACTATAATATATATATAGTTATATATATATATTACGTATACATATATATATTGTCATATCTATTATACGCATATTACACCATATATATATATACATAATGTAGCTCCAATATTATGATTTACATCACACCTTGTTTATTGATCACATATCATCATACACATAACATATTGTTTAATAATGTATAATGATATATATAGTAAGGATCCAGCAGATAGAATATTAAAAATGATATGGTCAAGAGATAGAATCTGGATTTCGCATGCAGGGGGGGAATCAAGAGATAGAATATGGAATATAGAGATTTAAGAAAACCCATTAAAATTATGAACATATCCTACGCAAATACATTGTTTTTTATAGGATAAAACTCGAGAAAACTCTTCAAACTTGAAATATATATATATATATATATTGAGAAAACTAAGCAAACATATCATTATATCATATGTATACACATTTTTTTGAAAGAAAATTACAGAAACTCTTCAAACTTGAAATATACATATATAAAAATGATATTCTAAGAAACTAATCAAAAGTATCAATATATCATACGTAGATATATCGTTTTTAGAAGAAAAACTCAATGAATTTATTCAATTTTGATATATATATATATGATATGTTATATATATATGTAAAATTAATATAAAGCTAAGAAACTATTCAAATTCAGTTGAGCATCACATGAAACACAACAACCAGACTCCAATCAGTGATGGTAGCCAGCAGAGCTGGCACACCATCAAACACACTCATACTGTGACATAAGATTAGTTTGTTTGTGTGGGATGATCCAGTGGAATATTCTATCTGTTGATTTTGGACCTTTTTTTAATTGCATTTTGAACAGAATTCACGTATGACCCAGATCAACAAATCCACCTCATGTCAGTTCATCCTTTTTTTTCACATATTCACATGTTCAACGGTTTCTAATTGTACAGTTTTTGTTTGCATCTATCTCACCAAAACATATATTAAGTAACAGGCAGATAAAATATTCAAAATTTCATTGATTTGAAAATAACAAATAGAATAACGCAAAATTTATAGCTAGGTAAATTTTACACATAGAATTATCCAAGACCTAAAATATATATTTTTAGGGAAATCAACTTTAAAAGCATCATTTTTCCTGTGTTTTACCAGTGTTTTCAACAGATAGAATAATAACCTATTTTCCAGACCCCGTCGACCCCTCATCTCCTCAATTCCCAAAGCAGCAGTCAACATTGCTGGCACAATACAACAACTCAACTTTGAATTTTTCCATCCACTCCATAAGGAACTCATGTACAGACATACTAAACAAATAATACATTCACTCATAATTGATTGGCTGGCTAATATACCACTTATTGCAATCAAAATAGTACAAAAAATTGGCTGGAGCCAGCAAAGCTGGCACCCCATGTAGCTGGAATATTCTATCTGTTGATTTTGAATCATTTTGCATATTAAAACATACAACAAAATGTGGTCGATTTACGTTCTATCCGAAAAACCACCGCAAACCAACATCAACATGAAACATGCACGCACGCACACACACACACACCTGACCATCAAACATAGTGCATCGAATGTTCAGTTGCAATGCTTTCGACACCCATCGACACCCACAGACGGACGATGCTCTACACAAACACAGCCTTTGCCCCTGACAAATGCATATACTGCTATGGAAACAGACGATGTGAACAGAAACAACTGCAACTTACTATGTGTTTCTCCTTCGGTTGGCGTGAATGTATGTTTTATCCATGCTTGGTTCAAACAATAATGTTCGGAAATATGTCTACCCCATGTGGACACCAACAGACAGAATAGTCCAAAGTCAATCAAAAGATAGATTAATACAGAAACTATGATAAATGATAAATTTGGAAAAAAAAACGAATCAAATTTACTTTTTTCAGAAAATCATCTGCATGTTTGGAAACAAATTCATTCACTCATAATTTATTGACTGGCTTGTATGCCACTCATTGCAATCAAAACGGTACAAAAGATTGGCTGGAGCCAGCAAAGCTGGCACCCCATGTAGCTGGAATATTCTATCTGTTGATTTTGAATCATTTTGCATATTAAAACATACAGCAAAATGTGGTCGATTTGTTCTATCCGAAAAACCACCGCAAACCAACATCAACATGAAACACACACACACACACCTAACCATCAGACATAGTGCATCGAATGGTCAGTTGCAATGTTTTCGACACTCATCGACACCCACAGACGGACAATGCTCTACACAAACACAGCCTTTGCCCCTGACAAATGCATATAGTGCTATGGAAACAGACGATGTGAACAGAAACAACTGAAACTTACTATGTGTTTCTCCTTCGGTTGGCGTGAATGTATGTTTTATCCATGCTTGGTTCAAACAATAATGTTCGGAAATATGTCTACCCCATGTGGACACCAACAGACAGAATAGTCCAAAGTCAATCAAAAGATAGATTAATACAGAAACTATGATAAATGATAACTTTGGAAAAATACGAATCAAGTCTAAGTTTTCAGAAAATCATTTGCACGTTTGGAAACAAATTCATTCACTCATAATTTATTGACTGGCTTGTATGCCACTTCTTTCAATCAAAACGGTACAAAAGATTGGCTGGAGCCAGCAAAGCTGGCACTCCATATAGCTGGAATATTCTATCTGTTGATTTTGAATCATTTTGCATATTAAAACATACAGCAAAATGTGGTTGATTAACGTCCTTTTATCAAGCAATTTGAAAAACTCTCGCAAAACGCAAAACCAACATGAAACATGCACACACACACACACCTAACCCTTGCTAACCTTGACTCATCAGACATAGTGCATCGAATGTTCAGTTGCAATGCTTTCGACACCCATGGACACCCACAGACGGACGATGCTCTACAAAAACACAACCTTTGCCCCTGACAAATGCATATACTGCTATGGAAACAGACGATGTGAACAGAAACAACTGCAACTTACTATATGTTTCTCCTTCGGTTGGCGTGAATGTATGTTTTATCCATGCTTGGTTCAAACAATAATGTTCGGAAATATGTCTACCCCATGTGGACACCAACAGACAGAATAGTCCAAAGTCAATCAAAAGATAGATTAATACAGAAACTATGATAAATGATAAATTTGGGAAAAAAAACGAATCAAATTTACTTTTTCCAGAAAATCATCTGCATGTTTGGAAACAAATTCATTCACTCATAATTTATTGACTGGCTTGTATGCCACTCATTGCAATCAAAACGGTACAAAAGATTGGCTGGAGCCAGCAAAGCTGGCACTCCATATAGCTGGAATATTCTATCTGTTGATTTTGAATCATTTTGCATATTAAAACATACAGCAAAATGTGGTTGATTAACGTCCTTTTATCAAGCAATTTGAAAAACTCTCGCAAAACGCAAAACCAACATGAAACATGCACACACACACACACCTAACCCTTGCTAACCTTGACTCATCAGACATAGTGCATCGAATGTTCAGTTGCAATGCTTTCGACACCCATCGACACCCACAGACGGACAATGCTCTACACAAATACAGCCTTGGCCTTTGCACCTGACAAATGCATATAGTGCTATGGAAACACACGATGTGAACAGAAACAACTGCAACTTATGTGTGGTTCATTGACAATGTACGGAAATAGCTGTACCCTTGGGGAAATCAACAGATAGAATAGTCCAGCAGATAAATCACACAAAAATATGCAAAAATCATGATAAATGCGAATTTGGTCAAAGTTTCCGGAAAATCATTGATGCCTCTGAAAACCCTATATATATACACGGATTAATAGATAGAATATTCAATACTGCAACGAAACCTCAAAAACTATTCTATCTGCGAGTTATACTGTCAACGTCGTGTTTTTCTGCTATTTTTTCATTTTTAACTTACCCGAAAAAGTCATTGATTTTATTCTATGTGCCAGTTACTGAATATATATATATATGTATAGGCAAACCAAACAGATAGAATATTCCAGTATCGTCATATAAAGGAAACATGGTCATGTCAGAAGCATACATGTGTGAATATTTGTTAAACAAAAAGATAACAACAGATATATCTTTAGTTGTGTTCTGCATCAATTCTCACCAAATCGTGTATATATATATGCAAATCAAACAGATAGAATATTTTTTATATCTAAATTATATCTATTACAGAAAACTATAAAAAAAATAAAAAATAATCAAAATATTTTTTTAAGTTTTTTAAAGACAAAAATGTTACAAAACCCTATATATATATACACGGATCTAGTCCGTACCTGCCGATATTCTATCTGTTGAAATTCCTGCCTGCAAACCTGCTCGTGTAGTATTTTTTTTTTGAAATGAATTATGGTTTATATTCTATCTGCTGGATCCTTACTATATATATAATAACACATGTTACTGCATCTATATTACATATACATGTTGACATCTAAGCTATACCCATGATTACCTCTTGCAATTCCCATTGCACTGCTGCGGGACCGCAGGATACAAGAGCGAAGATCGAAGAATTGCGACGCAAACTGCAAGAGCAGCAGCGCGCCAACGGAGGTACAGCTGTTGTGAGCGAAGCATGTCGACACGTGGTATCGTGAACATAATGCGAAACATCGAAACTGGTTATTCAATGGGATATGCATGGGATATATTTGGTGGGATAGATGGCAAACTACTAGCGTACCCCAGCCAGGTATAGCCAAGGGATTTTAATTTCACAGGTTGGGACCTGCAACTGGTTACATGTATTGAGTTGACTGGAACTGCACTCATACGGGTACATGGTCCCTCCCCGGTCCTCCCCAATTTAATATGATACTCCCCCAACAATGAGGGTTGATGGTGATTGATACCGCAATAAGGCTGACCTTTGGGGGTATCCTCAAAGCTTGCACACATGATGGTGGGCATGGGATATTTGATATTTACCAGCAGGATATATGATCCAATTACCATCCCCCAAACAAACATAGACCTTGAGAACCATCCGTTTTTAGAGGAAAATCGTCTTCCAAAGCCTCTGTTTGGCTGGGTCTTTTTCTACTGGGGGGGGATGATAGTGGGAAACAATGGGAACTCATTCTCAAAACCAGCTGTTTTTTCATACTGGAATAATTCGATAGATGGTCTAGGTTGCTCTCCAACCACTATTCTGGCGAAATGGTTCAGAGGGCTACCCCAATTTTGAGATCCAGACCTGCAGATATACAGCGTAGCTGTTAACCAGTTAACCAGGCTCCAGGATCTCGGGACTTCTCTCCCCACGAAGTAATTCGTCAAGATGTGTCAAGACTACCCCAAGACGCACAACCGTTACGTGCCAGGTCACTCGTTCACGATGGAACCCTTACGGGACGGAAATGCCTCCGTGCAGGTTCGGCCAACGACCGTCGCGAGGTTACGAGGTTAGATGGTGGATGTAATGGGTAACAACTCTTCTTTCAGGTCAGTGAACCATTACACATAAAAATGCAGAATGTAGCGGACAGCAAATCACCAAGGTATTCTCCCGTTGCCGGGCCGAGGATGATGATGATGATGATGATGATGATGACGATGACGATGACGATGATGATGATGATGATGATGCTATGCGGTTGCGAAGTGGTTGATAATCCTGCTTACTTTACCAACGGCGAAAACCTCGAGTCAAGATTTGGTTTTCGACTTCTTCTTTTGGGATTCTCGCAGTCGAACTTCTCGCAGTTTTGCAGGTCCATCAGATGCCCAATGGGCAGAGTTTGGTGGTGGATTTCTGGGCAGACACTGTAGACACCAAAGAAAAGAGACTGTCCGTGTCTTGGTCATTGCCCTGGTGGTTAGTAGTTCCGCAAAAATAAGGTCTTAGCTATTCCCAAATGTTCCATGGTGCTGGTATATTTCCCTACATGACTGGGTGATAAATTGTTCGGGTAAATGTTGCTGTGCGAAATTCCAGCACCATGGTTCGCATCTTAGCTATTCTTATCTGCTCCCGACAAACAGGGAGAGTTCACACAACTTACTGGTGCTAAACGTAGGGAATTTATGGGTTGCTGGGGGTTGCTGGGATTATTATTGATAGTTAGCCAGTGGATCATTCCCGAAAATTCCCTACGTAAAACGCACTTAAGTAAGACAAGAACTGGTTGCTGGTTTGGAACCTAAATTTTTATGACTTCCCCAATAGTTGGGATGATGATCCAATCTGACGAACTCATATTTTTCTTGGGGGGTTGGTCAACCAGCAATTTGTGAAACATTGGAAAACTTCCAGCTTTTGGTCGGGGGAAAAACTAAAACCGCCAGGTGGTTTTTGATGGGATCATAAAGGAAGAATTTTGTGGATGTTTCGGCGATGTGTTGAAGATATTCTTGCTCAAAAAAGTGAAGAATTGAGCGTTTAACAGCCTTTTTGGTTGATGATTATATAATAATCAATGGACTTTCCTATCCTATTCGGGATCATATTGTAGACCACAATCCATGGTAAATCCAAGTAAGTTTTAAGGTCCTGATATATTCGTTGATACCAACCAGCCAACGTCGATTCCTGTGGTAACAGTTGATTGCGGGCACATATGGTTTGAAGTGATGGGTTGATTGGAACAGTGCATTGAGATTCGTTCGATATTTCAGTGATTATAATGACAAGATGAGATGATATTGATATTCCAATATTGTTCAATATGATATTGACTAAGACATTTGAATGATTGGATGCTGGCTGCTGGTAGCTATCGGTGGCTTCAAAGATGTTTCTTTTCCGGCGCCATCCGCAGCTCAGGACTTCACGTTGATCTATTGTGGTACAGTCCCTTAGCTCCATCGGCATTTTGGGTGCGGCGAAATCTGTCCAGGGCCAAATCTGACCCCCAAGTGTTGCCTCAAATGGATTCAAATGGACCAAATGTATCCACATTCACATGGTTCCTGAAAAATGGCCCGTTTTGAAGGCATACCACCATTGACATGTTCGATCAGGGGTTGGTAAATGTACTTCTTTGGGGGTTTGATTCACATCACCTTCAGTCGTATTTGACGGAGACTATATCCCCAATAGTTGGGTAATGTCAAAAATTAGGACATTTACCAACCCCTGTTGATCCTTTTTCGGGGCTTTGTTTTCTTGGTGAAAAGCTGGCAGAGCGGTGATGGCTTGCCACTTATTTACTATTGGATTTGTTCATGTTCGGTGACCTTTCTGTCTCTTTTTTGGGTTACACAAAACGATATTACTGGAATATATGTCTAGATATTACTATTTTTTTCTGTGTAGTATATACGTATATTAATGATTATATATATATACCCATATGCGAAGCATGGTGCTGGGTATATGCACACCTACATGACTGGGTGTAAAATTATTCGGTGAATCCGCTCTGGAAGTGGCTCAACATTGACTCGACCAATCGTTTCTTCTAAGCCATTAAAGTTAAAATGATGGTTATATGATGGTTAAATTGGCTTAGTACTACTAAATTACTAAGTTAAATAGGTACTAAGCCATTTATGATGGTTATATGATCATGTTTTTTTATGACCTATTCATGATTGTATGTATCTTAGCCAATTGGAATCAATGATGGTTATAATATTTCTTGTCTAGTGCGTATTAGATGACTTCATGTTTTTGTTCGTATCTTTGCCAGCGGCGAAAAAAATCTGATGATTCCTGGGATGATCCGATGATCCTGAAAAAAAGACGTTGACGCACTTTGACACAGCAGGTGTCTAACGTCCAATGGGGGATGGTTTCTACAAATCCATTTCATGGGATAAACTATAAACCCCATTAACTATAGTTATAAGTACAATAAACCATAATAAACCATAGTTATTGGAGTTTTATATATATATATATATCTGGGTAAAAAAATCATCACGACCTCACGTCGCGATCGAAGCCTAAATAATCATGGTTTATTTCAGGGAAATCATCCCCAGCCATGGCCGAACTATTCAGGTTAGTGAAATATTATTTGGTTTACCCAGATTTCTGGTGAAATCTCTAGTGCTTTGCTATTGGTTTTACCGTGAATACCGTTGCTAATGATTCTCCAAGTGAATCATCTGAAAAAGGGGCTGCCAGCTACCACTTAGCTGAAGATAGCCGATTAGTACGTGGGTTACAACCGTCTGGTTCGTGGTTTGGAACATTTTTCCTTTTTCCACACGTTGGGAAGAATAATCCCAACTAACTGACTAATATTTTTCAGAGCGGTTGAAACCACCAACCAGCCGTTATATTATATATATATATTATTATTATTATTTATTATTATTATTGTTATTATTATTATAATTATATACCCAGTTGCAAAAGGGATAGGACCTAGTGAAAAACCAGTCAACTAACTCCCTGGCCCAACCGGTCGTATCAGACAGTCGGTATTTCCCGTTGACCCCTGAGGCGCAGTGGTTTGACCCCGCAGTCCGCAATCACAGTGCCTGGGCGATAACGATCAAACATGGAGAAAAATACAGGTTTTATGATTAAAACATGAACCCTGTATTTAAGTGTTTTAATACATTTGGTTCATACCATGTTTAATACAGGGTTTAAGATTGTTATGATCAATGGGTCATTTAAGTATGAACCCAAATGGATGAACCAAACTGTTCTGATCAATGGGTCATTTACCCTCTGGTAATTTAACGTAGCTATTGAAAATGGCCATTCATAGTGGATTTTCCCATTAATAGCATGGTGATTTTCCATAGCTATGTTAGTTTACCAGAGGGTAACTATCATACAGTTTGGTTTATCCATTGGGTTGATGAAAACATAGCACCCGAAATGCGGTTTCCATCAACCAAATGGATTTAAGTCCGACAGGTTTGTGACAGTAGGGCTATGTCCCGAAGTAGGATGGGTTGTCATCATTGATTATCATGTCTCATGGGTCATTAAATGTCCTCATTGAACATCACCCAACCATGAATGGTATATGGTCTATAATGGCTACTATAAGGTGATGTCCAATATACCGATACTTTTGGGACAGTTACCAACCCCTGTGTTTTCCTTGAAAGTGGGGACATGGGTGTGCCTCATTTCTGGACAAAGTATCAAACTCCTGAGGTTTTTATGGGCCATTATTCCAGAAAAGGAGTATACCCTGCGAATCCCTCATTTCAGGTGTCAGGGCCGTGTCCCTCCAATCAAAGACCGTGGAGTCTTTTCAAACACGATATTTTAGGTCCCTCCATTCCTAGGGCAGTCCATTCTACTGCAGGTTGATATCGCTACGGATCAACACCATATAGATACATATAAGATCATAATAGATCATATAAGTACCATTCTTTGGGGGATGAACATCTATAAAACCCAGCTATTTTGGATATTTTGGTGTTCACCATCAAGGTTTTTGACCTCTCCTATCCCCAAATGATGTTCACCCATTGTCTTTTTGGGCCTGCCCCTTGTTGGAACAAAGGGATCAGAGGTTTTGCCATGTCTGAATGGATTATATGTGGCTTTGTTCTGTTTTGGCTGCCAAAAAATCGGATAGCTGTCTTGTTTGTGTTTTTTTTTTACATCATGAATCTTCTTGGCTTTGTGGCTTTGGATAGATTGAGTTCGAAGGTTCAAGGTCAAGAGATTTTCAGGTTTTAGGGATTTGAAGAAGTTGCGGAAACAAGGGCAATACGCAGTGATGCTGGCTTTATTTAGGGTGTTAGGTTTTGTCTAGAGTTTCATGGTCTTGGTGCTTAGGGTTCAAAAGGGGTGTAGAGTTGCTGCGCGCAACCCTTCCTGCCCTTGTCGGCACAAGACACATTTTAGTTCAATATGTTAGAACTCCCCGCAATTACACATGTTTGAGAGTTGCCGAGAAGACTCGGCCGGATGCTCCGGGCAAAAAACGCGGTGTTTGCGCTCTGGCTCACAACCAGTATGAGAATAGTGGCCCCAGCCTACTTTTGTGAACTTAGGGACTTTGAAAGCCAACATTGAAATGACACTGTTGTGAACTTTTGTGCATCACAAAAGAAATTGGGAATGATGGCGTTGGCCCTACTCCGTGATGGATCCAAGTGCGAGTACCCTCTCAGGAAGTAGGGGCATATATTTTTTTTGGGTGAGAAACGCAGTTTCTCAAGAAGTGTTTGGATCCATAGTCTAGATGGTTGATGATGTTTCATAAACAGGGCTTAACTGGAGAAGCATCTGTTTTAGGAATCCCCAATTTCTGGACACGTCCATAAGGGTTACTGAACCTCACCATAGGGAGTGATGAAGATCCAGTTCCTAGCCAGTCAATGGCCATGCAACAGGAACCGATAAAAATTGGAGGTATCTACCATTTTTTTTTGGCCTATGTAAGAGAATATCCCCAGAAAATATGGCCTGAAAAATGGTACAGTACCTTCATTTTAGGATCCTGAAATTCTCATTGATCTATTCTGAAGTCTGTTCCGAAGGGATTTTGCGTTGCCGTTTTTTTTTTGTCGGCAGGCAATCGAGAAATTTGGGACTGGATCAAAGACGAGCAGATGCTCGGTGGAGATGGTACAGCTGACTAAACTGAAGTGTAGTTTCATATTCCAATTGTGTGCCATGTTGATAGGAATACACACTAACCAACTACAGTAGATATCATTGAATTGTTTGTTTTTCAGGGAACAATGCGCGAGAGATTGTTTTTGGAGATTGTTTTCAGGTGAAGTTTGGATGTTGGAATCATGTGCAGAATCCCCAATGATTGTCACATCAGTCCGATCATGCTGAAAAATCATCCATATGGATCTCGAAAAGATGGTTTTTAGCATGTTTTATCAACAAAATACCTCTGGTAATTTCACAGTTTGCTATTGAAAATGGCCCAGTCGAAATAGTTGATTTACCCATTAAACATGGTGATTTTCCATGGTTTTTTGGTTGGTTTACCATTAAACAATGGTACCTTTCATCTATGCCAATCATCTGTTCAAATCGCCGCCAGTTTTGTTGATATCTCTGATGTATAGTATATATATATATTTAAAATACCATACACGATACATGTATGCGTCTTTTAGCATGGTTTAATATATATATATATATATACACATTATACATATATATATATATACAATGTACATCTACAGCTACAGCTACATCTGCCTTTATCAAATATAGCACTTCCGTGTGGCGAAGTTTTCAGGAACGGCGTGCTCATGACGCTGATGGAAAGAGGGGCCAAGGTCCGGTTCCTGATTGTTGGAAAGAAATCCTTGCCAGACGACGAACTGGACGGGAGGGGATCGATCGGATCGATCGGATCGGCCTTTCTGGAGTTTTGCAGAGCCCAGAAACCGTGCATAGAATGTATGTTGATGTAGGATTTTACGCTTATTTAGGGGGTGTTCAATATTTGGGGATTATATTATATCTATATATGTTTGAAGCGCCAAAGGTGTGCATTCGATTGGAGAGAGGCTAGAACTCCAATGAACAGTGAACATGTTGATTTCGCCCTTTTTTCTGTTTTGGAGATTCTTTATGCACTACATGAGTGCAGTCTGCTTGGAAAAGGAGCAGTTTTTTTTGTTTTCTGGTGCTCTTCTGGTGCTTACTGCTACAGTGCTTGGGCGCTACCCAATATACGAAGAGCATACATGGGTCGTTTGAGTACGAACAATTCATCCAAACATGGATCAAAAATAGAAACGCAAATGTCCGATTTGGTTTTTGAGCCAAGCATGGCAGAATTTTTTGGCGGAAAATTCTCATGTCACTGACCAGATCTGCCTGGTGGAAGTATCCCCCCCACATCCAGGGTTTTTCAGAGACTGTGAGAGGCTTGCACAGAATACCTACTTGGGGAAAACCAGTTGAGGTTATCATAGGTCATACGTATCACCATTGGTTAAAAGCCCAATAAATTGGGATAGGACCCCTATAATTATGGTTACATCAGTTATATCCATTTATAACTGGAACTGCACTTGAAAGTAAGAGCTTCTTGTGCCGTTTGGGACTCCAACATAGCAATCCCAAATCACAGTATGATCAGTATGGTAAAGATGTGGTGTTTGAACACGAGTTTCCTTTGAAAACGGTTTTGTCCGAACATCAGTCATCCACAATCCCCTGTGAACAGATCCATGGCACAGATCCCCTGAAGATGCTTGTGCTGAGCCATCCCTCTGGATCCCCCTGGGTGGTTGGTAACTGTGCCAATGATTGGATAAAATATATAAAATGCTGGATATCTCGCAGTTGGAAGAGCCCCATCCTGCAGAGGTCTTTGTTGATCAAATCATTTTTGCTTCATGAAATCAGCTCAAATCATCTAAATTCATCTTAGATCATCTAAAATCATTTTGAATCCCATGTTTTGCTAGTTAAATCCCAATATAATATGTATGTCTCATTATTACATAGCATTATCTCAACCTTACCCTCTGGCAAACTAACGTAGCTATGGAAAATCCACATGTTTGATAGCTAGATTAACCATAATATATGATTAATATGACTATGTTCAATAGCTATGTTAAATTACCAGAGGGTGAATCCCTATAGTTGGTTGGTTGATTTATTATTGATTAAAGATATCGTGATGGATTCCATAGCTACATAAAACTTCATCGCTGTTTTAGCCACATAAAACATCCCATCAATGGGAGATCTTCAGGATCCAATTGTTGGAGGTACGTAAACGTACCATTTTTCAGGCCATATGTTGGGGCTATATCCCCTGAAATTAAGGCCTGAAAAATAGGCCTTATATATGGTAGGTACCTCCAATGAATCGGTTCCTGAAATGGCCATTGATCCCATCTCCACCGGAAAAATCCGGCCCGTTGTAGCTCTCCACCAGGACGTCATCGTGGCTTTCCTGGCGTCCTCCAAAACCGGCCCTTTGGCGAAGCGGAGCCAATGGTGAATTTTTCGTTGAGCAATGGGTGATGTCATCAATGGAAAAAATGTTGATTTTACCCTCTGGTTATGACTAACATAGCCATGGAAAATGATTTAAATGGCCCATTTATAGTGGATTTACCCATTAATAATGGCCATGTTCAATAGCTATGTTAAATTACCAGAGGGTAATGGGAAAAATCATGGAACATCATCTATCAATGTGGTTTGAGTGGGTTTACCCTCTGGTAAACGTCGTTTGCGAACTGGAACATCACCATTTTGAATAGGTAAATAAACTATTAAATGGGGTATGGCCAATACCTATTTTGACATAGCAAGAGGGTAGGTTGTATGGGTAGTTATAGGTGCCGTTTTTTTTTGGATAAGGAACTACGCAGTAGTAGGGAAACCTACCAACGAATTAGTATAACGGGATATGATGGGAGTATTTTTTTTAATGCATGAGGCATGTTTTTTGAACTATTTAACCATATTTAACCATCAAACATATGGGGATATAACTGATAAGTGATGGTTGATTTATGATTCGTTCGGGGGTTACAATACAGAGTAATTAATATTGGGGGTTCGCATAATGTTTGAACTGGGAATCTCTATATTAACCAATCAGTATGGTGAAATGACAGAGGCATTTGAGCACTGCTCAGGTGTACCTGGATTTGTGCGGATATAAACCAACCATATTGGGGATATACAAAGGGGCAGTGGAATGTACCCAACGAACGATCTGAAAGTGTCTTTTGTGTGTCTGAATATGGAGGGTAAAAAACCAACACAGATTGGGAATTATGAGATACCATCTGGTTATGACTAACATAGCCATGGAAAATCAACATGCTATTAATAGGTAAACCCAGGTAAACCATCTATAAATGGGCCATTTTCCATGGCTATGTTAGTCATAACCAGAGGGTATATAATGAGAATTAGTGAGATACATACTACATATAACCACCAATTTATGACTTTAGGAGACTTTAGGTCTGTCTGAACACGGCGTTTTTTCCCCCCAATGTCGTGCCAATGAAGTAGGCCATGTAAAATTAGGATAGGCCAGGGATTTTGACGTACCCTATTTTCAGAGCGTACCCTATTTTCAGAGAAACTGAGAAATTTACTCCTGAAATAGTTGGAATATGTTGGGCTACAATAGATATGCAGCGCACAATGCTGAAGGAACCATGATTTGAGGCTGGGCACCAGTTCCTCATCATGTCAGGTGTGTCAGATGTTAGGTGATGCTCAACATAAGAGTCCTTCCTGCAGGAAAAAACCTATCAACATACTCAGGTAGCCATGGGATTTGCAAACTGGTGATTGTGGGTCGTAAGCCGCAAATTATCACCCATGTACGACAAAAAGTGAACTAACTTCATTGCCTACCTAAGTATGTCCACACGCTTGAATTTCTATATACACTCCGGCAATAAAAGGTGGCTGTCTGGGAAATCCGCGAATTCCACGCATGTTTCTGGGAAAATCATCTATACAGGATGGTGCCCCCCAGTTATAAGTTGGTTTATAAACCCCATTAACTATAGTTATATCTGCCATAAACCATAGGTTTAATGGGAGTTATTTGCACCAACTTAGCTAACGAACTGGGGCACCACCTTGTAAGTGGATTTTCCAGCCATGTTTGATGACAGAGGGATCCTTAAATAAGGCCGTGTGGCGGCGCTGGGCAGCAGCGCCGGAGGGATGTTGGCGCTGAGACTCCTTAAGGCAGGCGTCAAGCTGGTGGCATCCGTATCACCTGCGCCACTGGGGCAGAGTGAATGGGAAGAGGCACGGGCTCAGGGTGGAAGCACCGGGGTCGAGGCGAGGTGACTGGTGATATTCGAAGATTGATGAAAATGATACATACGTGATACGTGGATCAATTTTTAAGTGCTTGAAAAAGAGAATCACAAAGAGTGTGGAATATCTATAATGATGATATGTTTACCTACATACACGGATGCATACAAACATATGCATCATGATATGTATATAGATACATGTATACGTGCGTCCAAATGTGCAGGTTTCTGAGTTGCTGATTGCCTGGGCCAAACAGTATGACTCAATCATTCTTTGTACAGTACTATGCTTTCATGGTGTGTGGAAGCATCAGCTAAGTCATGATTCTTGGAGTGCAAATTGAAAGGTTTAGCAGTTAAAATCCAAGAATTCTCTCCAATGGACAATCACGTATACCCACCTATGCAGCCAGGGTTACCCTCTTACCGTGAAAAATTCTTGTGCACTTGGAAAAGGGAACATGAGTCATGTCGGGCATCAATTTCTAGCAAAACATAATCGAAGGCTCATGATCTGGTGCATCAAAACCCCATTGTTTTAACAATTGTTCTTGGGCATGTCTGAAAATGTTGTATACCCCCAAATAACATCAAATAACATCAAATAACCATCACAACATGGGGAGAATGATTTTCAAACCGCTGAAAAATTGAGGTCTTCCTGCAATTTTCGGACAAAACCACATATCAAATTAGTGATATCACCACACTTTCTTCCATTTCTCCACGGGTTTTCTCTCCGGCACCGGAAGAACAAAGATCCTGTAGCAGGTGGCTCACTTCAGTACTGCCTTGGCCGCGACATTGCAGCGATCTCGAGAGAAGAAGCTTTATTTGTTACTTGGCGAGTTGGGATAAAGCTAAATACCCTCTGATAAACCAACAGTAACTGACATAACGAACTGGAAGATCACCATTTTTTAATGGGCAATCAACTTACTATAAATGGATAAAACCAATAGTTGGGGAATGTTGGGGATAAAGCCAATAGTTATATACCGTTGTATACTATTGTCAGAATATCACAGTGCTGTGATATCTGTTTGAAATAGTGGGGACGTAGTAATAGTGTGATAAAGCCAATAACAAATCATTCCCAATTTGGATCCATTAGCCCCCGGTGATTTAACGTAGCTATTGAAAATTGCCATAGAAATAGTTGATTTACCCCCCCAAAAAAATGGTGATTTTCCAGTTCGCAAACTGTTAAGGTTTACCAGGCCGGGTAGTGGGCCATTTTTTCCCTGTTCGGGATGATTTTCTTTGAAAAAATCATCTAGTGTTGGGTATGTTCATGGGTATCTAGAGGAGATTCATAGTGGGATATCATTCAAAATACCATGTTGCTTGGGTATGAAAACGCGGGTGAAAAACCCCCTGGTTATGATGGGGATTCTGAATCGTCCATAATCGGCATGCCGTCCATGATCAGCCAGTAGAATGGGATGGGAAAATGCGGTATTTTCCGTGACTCAAGTTTGGGAAACCTTGGTTGAGTGCTGCTAGAATGGAGGAAGATTCTGAACAGATAGAAATTGTGTTTTTTTTGGGGGCAGGGTATATCTCCAAGACTGGCCCTCAAAGAAATTGCCAGGATAAGCATGGCAAAGGGCGAACTGAGAAGAGCGAGTGCTTGTGCGCTCCATTTCAGTCACTCCATGGCAGCCATGGTAGGTGTACACAGCCAATACTCATCCAAGGCCAGGATAGTCGAAAACTTATGGATGACCAGAAGGTGTCAGAAGGTCATTTGAAATCATTTGACTTTCGATCTATTTGGCTGGTGCCTTTGCATTTCTTGGATTTTCAAGCCCAATGCATGGGATGATACGATTGCAGCGACGGCTTGCTTAGATTTTATCAACATATATTGTGGCGAACATTTTATCCTTGATAATCCCAAGGATATTTCATCTTATCAACTAAAGTTTATCAACTAATCCTTGTTGTTTTTCATCTTCTTTTTTCATCCTTTTTCACAAGGTTTCGGGCTCCAAACATCCCTCGATCAAAACGCTCAGGATCTGGGGCTCCGAGGACAAAACGCAGGTTCCGTTCCGAGCGCTGCGCAGTTGATTGGAGGGTTGCCGGGGCGCATCTTTTGTATAGTAATTGATCACTGGAGCTTGGGGGAGGCGATTTCAATGGTGAGATTAGTGAGGCTTGATTCATCCGCGACATTTAAGGTCTATTTATCTGATGTTTCTTTGCATGTTGATGTTTTTGTTGGGGAAATGTAGCTATACCAGACATGAATGATCTGGACACGGTCACAACTACATGGTAACTGAAGGTGAAGCTTGTGTGGTGTTGGAAAGGAAGTATGCATTATAAGGTGCATTGCACACTGGAATTGGGTAAGCTCCAGCAATTTTCAATGTATGTGGGGTTCATCACCTCACGCTGACGATGTTTTGTCATTGCCCTCACTTCTGGAGACACCCTGATATTTCTCATATAGTTGGCCTGCAGTGTTGCAGATGAACCTACTTCGTAGCTCGGCCCAGTTAGTAAGTGGGTGAATTCACCCTAGTTATAATTGCTCATTATTGAAAATGGCTATAGAAATAGTGGATTTTCCCATTAAAAATGGTGGATCTTGGTGGATCTTTCCAGTTCGCTTTTTGTAAACGTTTACCAGGCCGGGTAACTGTGCCGCTTAGCTGGGGTGGATGTGCAGGGAATGTGGCTTGGATGTTACAAGGCAAATATATAGATTGATACATATACATATATTATATATATATATTATATAATAATTATATTATATATATAGATTAAAAATCCCTGGGGGGAACCAAGCAACCAAGCACTGAACCAATCAGGATAGCTCACACGGCTCAGAGATCTGAATGACCCAGCCCGGTGAACAGCCCAGCTGGGAGGAACATTTGCGCTCCCTGCAACAGAGCTCTGCGGTCCAGTCGAAAGAGATACCGCACAAGGGTGACTTGGCAGGAAAAGATGTGCCATCCTTGAAAGTGGAGTAGATTGGCCAATGTTCTGAGGACAGGGAAAAATGGAAAAATGGAAAAATAAATCCTTTTGAAAAGAGGGATTTTTGTATGCCCACAATAAAAGGACTCCTCCCATCATGGCATCATATACCATGTTTTGATCACAGCACATATTTTGGCAGGTCTATTCAAGAGTCGGGGAAGCCCCTAGCTTGGCAAGACGACCCAGAACAGGAGCATCAGCACTTTTTGGACATACCCAATTCGCTAATGCAGGCTGTGGTTGGCTTGAGGCAGACTTTCTTTGAATTCGAATCCGAACTATTTAGATTCTTTTTTTTCTGGTTTCTGTTTTTCTACATGCTTGTGAAGAATGAGTTCAACTATAGATGACATGCAGCTACAGATCAAGGCTAGTATGAGGCAAGGCTAGTATGAGGATTTTGCCCCTGTTCGATGCTTATGTACAGGATCCCCCAAGCCGGAGGGTTGTAGCCATACACCTGAATTATCTTATGTTGCCATACACTTTGTATTTTCCAGCTGTTACTGTAGGCAAAAAGATAGGTAAACAGCCAAACATGTAGAATTTACCACTAAAATAATTGCCAGTACCATTTGTAGACTGTAAATTTGTAACCTTTTCTCATATCATGAAATGTCCATGCCAAAAAACCTTTTGAAGTCTCCCTTTAAATTGACATCGGAAAACGGCAAAGCCATGAGTCATGTTGGTCGCCACGCAGGCCACATCGGCATTCTCAGCACAAGTCTCTTTGAGGAGATCATATGGATGCTCGTGAAGGGCGATGAGACATCGCAGGCCAGGTTTTTTCCTGTTTTTTCCGTTCGCTGGTGATCAAAAAATCAAAAATGGTGGCTTTGGAAGCAACAAACTTATGGGAATATATACTAGGATACAATACAATATATGAATATGCTATGGAATATAGCCGTGGTGTGTTTCTTAAATGCCGGTGAGCCATCAAAAATGGTGGGATGTGGGGGCTTAGAACATGGCTCCGAACCAGGTTCCAGGTTCGTCTGAGAATGGGGTATGATGCCCTTTTAAATGGCGATTTGAATACCCTCTGGTAATGACTAACATAGCTATTGAAAATGGCCATAGAAATAGTGGATTTTTCCATTGAACATGGTGGATCTTTCCATAGTTATGTAAACGTTTACCAGAGGGTAGGGATAATGATGATTGACCAGTGGATTTAGGGATACCCTGTTTTCAGACAAAGCTACATGGGATTATCAACACGGATATAGGATATGGATGGATATGGGAGTTAGTGGTGATGCACTGGCTGTAAACCCGTAGAGAATTAGAGACTCGAAGCACCAACAAACGCGGTGGGCTTAGAAGCATGCAGTTTACCGGGATAGAATGGAAATGGGATGGGATATACCAACAATATTGGGCTTCCAGCTTAGGCGCAAGCAGAGCCTGTGCCGAACTTCCCTGAAGATGCGGAGACAGGCAGCACACCACGACCGCCGCCCAGGGATCCGCGAGCACCAGCCCGAGCCGGCAGAAGGGACTCTCGATGATTGATTCTTAGGGTTCCTAAAATGGGGTGTTACTCCAAATCATCCAATTCATTAGACCAGTTTAGTATTGAAACCTATGGCGACTTGGAGATCCATTTTATGGAATCACAGCCAGAAACTTATTCATTTTTGTTGGAGGCCCCAGAAATTTTAGAGCCATCCCATAAGAACATGTTTTTGATAGGGTGTTTCATTTCTTAGCCATTTTTAAGATGAGGTGGATGCCTAATGAAATCTTGGTGCCTAATGATTCTCATGTTTTTTACCCACTACAGCATCAGATGTGGTTTCACCCGTGGTTTCCCTGGGAAAATAACCCAATTTTGGATGGTGGGTTTTACTTTAACAATGACAAGCTGAGGAAGGGATCTTGCTAAGAGTCTCACGGAAGTCCTCGACGCCCATTGGAGAGCTGTATGATGTGAACACCAGGGTGGCTTGGCAAAAAATGATGTTGGCATTACAGGGCCCAGACTTGAAACAACAGAAACTGTATTTATATATTGTGTTTCTGGGGAAGCAAAATGAACCAAATACATTACAGTACTGTATATCATTGATATTTCAGTTTAGGGGATTTATGAATATTTATAGTTCAATATAAACTAGACAACTATAGATATACTAACCATTAATTAGTGTGGTAAGAACGACTCTTTTCTTGTGAAATGCCTTCAGCTTACTTCCAAAGAATTTTAAAACAATAAAAAAGCAAAAACCAATAAACAAAAAAGCAAAACCCAATCCAAACCTCAATTAGAAAAAAGAAAAAAAAGCAAAAAAAAGCAAACTATTTGTTTTCACTATTTTTTTTCGCTTTGTTTTTGCTTTTTTTGCTTTGTTTTTGCTTTTTTTCCGCCTTTGTTTTCGCATTTTTTTTCTTTTTTTTCTTTCTCAGGTGACCTGATGACCGGGACCTTCGAAAATGTAAGAAACTCGTGGAAAAAAGCGAAAAAAAAGCAAAAACAAAACCCAAAAAAAGCAAAAAAAAACAAAAACAAAGCGAAAAAAAGCGGAAAAAAAGCGAAAAACAGTGAAAACAAATAGTTTGCTTTTTTTGTGCTTTTTTTTCTTTTGGTTTTGCTTTTTTTTTGCTTTTTCTAATTGAGGTTTGGATTGGAGTTTGCTTTTTTTTTTGCATTTTTTTTGTTTTTTTCTAATTGAGGTTTGGATTGGGTTTTGCTTTTTTTTTTCTGATTGAGGTTTGGATTGGGTTTTGCTTTTTTTTGGATTTGGTTTCGCTTTTTTTAGTTCAATTTATTTTTCTACCGTTTTATAGAAGTTGCCTGTAAGCCGTGTCACAATTCTTTTCTATTCTTTTCTGATTTTGATCGGAATGTATACTATCATCAGCTAGGAACAAGTGCAGGGTATCCGAGATTAGTCATGAAAATGGGGTTCGTCCTAATATCTTTTGGAATTGAACCCGAACCCAAACGTCTTTGCGGCAACTTTCTGTCATGCTTCTGGGGCTTTTTGTGCAAACACTTCTTGAAGCACCAACATGGGAAATATTGGGATTTGTTTTTCTTTGATTGACTGACATTCCCACAATTTCAATCAGCTTCAGATACATAATTTGAGCATCATGCAGCATGCAACAATGTTCCAAAAGAGTCCTGCTGCAACGTTTGAAGATCTTTGAACCCGGAAAGTTCAGGAAAAGTTTGAGTTCGAATACTTCAACGAGATCGGGGATCTGCACGTGGGCGAGAAGTACATGCATCTCAGCGTCAGGTGGGTCAGGTGGTGGCCGTCGACTGTGAGTCTGGTGTGGTCGGTTTCGAGGATTTTGGGTCGAAAACCTCCAGATGAGGGTTTCCATAAAATTCCATAAATGGGGAACCCGCAAATCGTCCATTTTTGATTGGGATTTTCCATTAAAACCATCCAGCTATTGGAGTATCCCGGTATCCCCATTTTAGGAAGCCTCCACATGTATCTTACTTGAATGGCCCGCAGTGCATGTCACTGATGTTTGGTGCATGGAAGGTCGACTTGACCGTTCAGTTTTAAAATTTCACGACGGTGCTATCCTGATCAATGTGTGGGAAGATCACAACTAAAATCCACCGGGTGGTTGGTGGTATCGGTTACCCACTGGTAAATTAACTGGTTGACCCTGATTTTATCACCCGTTTTTAATGGTTTCACTAGTCTTCCAACATTAATTATCTGTATCTGCCAGGGTCAACAAGTCAATTTACCAGAGGGTATATCATGCTATGTTCAATCTTCCAAATGGGATGATCATGTTAGTTGCTGTGACTGGTATTTGTTGTTAAAAAAAGGCCCACCTTTTAGAAATAGATATGGGCTGTTGCAGGGTACTTGGGGCTGCAGTTCCAGTTATAAGTGGATGTATATATATATATATATTATATCCATGGATTTTTTCAGTTACCCATATCCGATATCCCAACTTATGGGTGTTAAAGTCCCTAATCGTTGTACCCATTGAATGTTCACCCCAACTGCACCCCATTAAAAAATATCAATGCTCATGGTCAATAGCTGTAACTTATGCAAGAAACGTAAGACATTTCTTAGTGGTAAATTGATCCAATCTCATACTTTAGTTCTGTTGGGGTCTTGCATTCCCAACTTAGGTGCGTTATTTCCATAGGTATACACAGTTCTTTGCCCAACTTGCATTCCCAAGTGGGGGTTCTTTAAATGAGGCATCCCCAAAACCACAGCTTTCAATACTAAAATGGAACAATTTTGGATGATTTGGGGGTATCCCCATGACTTTAAAGAATACCTCTAAGCATCTTTTCAAAGCTTGGCCATGAGAATTGAACCTGGTACATGCCATGGATCCATCAGCAGGTCGCCAACATGTTGGCGACGCAGAGGTTCTCCGTAGCTGAAGGCAACGCGGTGAATGTGGTGGCTGCGCAGAAGCGTCACTGGAATTCGCGTATTGAAAACGGAGTTTGTTCAGCGTCAAAGATGGGGGAAAGATGATTTTTCATCAGAATATCTACTGGGGATTGAAGCAAAGGTTGGGATTCAACCAGTGGGAAAAACATCACGAAACTTAGTTCATTCTATATGGGTGTGTCTGAAAATTGGGTATACGACCAAAATGATGATTTGTCAATTAACCTGTGGGTTTTTGGGGTGCTCTATTCTCAGACAAATCCAAATACTATAGGATATGCTCAGTTGGTTTTGTACCTTATTCAGCTTTTGTTGAAGTGGGCTGATCGTCCACTTACTTCATTGGCTCAAATGACATACTTTAACCCAACTGTGGTGAAGCACCACTCGTACCCTGCAGTAATCCAACCTGGAAAGTTGCGAACCTTTGAACCTCGATGATTTCCTCGTCCAGAACGGCGAATCTCAAACCGAGGTGACATGGTGGTGACAAGTAAAAAAGCAAGTTGAAAGCTTTGGATGAAAGTAAGTCATACAATATTTGATTTACCCTCTGGTAATGACTAACATAGCGAACTGGAAAGATCCACCATTTTTGATGGGAAAATCCACTATTTCGACTGGGCCATTTTCAATAGCTATGTTAGTCATTACCAGAGGGTACCCAGTAAACATGGTGATTTTCCATATATCTGCACAATTTAGAGCGAGCCCAGACGAGGTACGAGGTAGACTTAGCAAATTACTGAGGCGATTTAACCAATTCACTTTCTACGAGGTGAGTCTATTTGCTTACCTTTTGACTGGGGAATGGTCAGAAAAAACTTTTCAGAAGCTGAACAGTTATTTCTGGTTGTCTGGTCGCAGTGGCAATGCTCCTTTTAAGTCTGGTGGAGAAAAAAAAATCAGCCTGCGAAAAGTTTTTTCTCACACATTCAGACATATTGCTGTGGCCCCACAGCATTTGGCTGAGGGTTAGGGTGGCTCAATGCGCCATGGCTTTGCGAGTGATGGTGCAGTCACACTTGGGATGGCCATGGGATGGTCATGGGAGTGTCCACAGGGAACATCCCCAAAGGGGGTAGCAGGGGACTTAAAGCACTCCCAAGTGTGACTGCACCAGCACTCGCAAAGCCATGGCACGCTAGTGCAATGCTCCCTAGCCCTCAGCCAAATGCTGTGGCCGAAGAAATATGCGAAAAAAAACTTTTCACAGGCTGAAAAGTTTTTTCCCCTCGGGACCTGATAGAAGCATTGCAACTGCGACCAACCAACCAGAAAAACTTTTCAGCCTCTGAAAAGTATTATTTTTGAAAGAGCACCACCGTGATGTGTTAGGTAAAGGAACGAGCACAGTAATTCCCCAAAATAGAATTAACGAGGCGAGGTGAAACGTCGCACATGGGAATTAACGACGAGGTGGCGAGGTGCGAATTATTGTAAATTGTGCAGATATATCTGGCTAATTCTGGCTAATAGTGGCTAAAAATAGGGTATAAACATGTATAAACCAACAACAATGGGAATATGATGGTTATATACTGGTTGGTGGTTTGGAACATTTTTTTATTTTTCCCATCATATTGGGAATGTCATCATCCCAACTGACGAAGTCCATCATTTTTCCGAGGGGTAGGTATACCACGAACCAGATTATTATTAACCATCATTAACCATATAATAACCATTAACATTAAACATATAATAACCAGTATATTAACCATATGTCAACCACCAACCAAATATTTCTGGGACAACATAGACTTCCTATTTGTTTTTCTGGGTATCTATGATTACCCGATTGCCCATGAATGAGATGACCTACTGCACCCCGGGGAGGCCAAGCCGCTTGTCTGTCAGTGCCACAGAGGTTAAGTCTAGGGGTTTAAGTTTAGATGGCTAAGTTGCTTTATAACTCCACTTACTATGGTTGCTGATATTTGTAATATATGGATCCAAATGCATCCCGAGATGGCACTTAAAGTCCTTAAAATATCCCTAGATCATACCCCAAAGCACTTCCTCATCCTTCAGAATGGATGGGGATGAACCACCAAGCGATCTCGAAATTTCAGGTGAATTCACAGTTCCCAAGCCACCCGAATCCACGATCTTCAAGGCGAAGCAGCTACCATGGCGGCGGTTTTTTCTGACCCGCGCATAGGGTGCTGGCGAATGGTTGTCCCAAGTTATCCCAAGTTATCCCATGTGATCCAAGGGTTACCTTTCCGGCCTTGGAACATGGCGCTTGAAGTTATCTCCCATCTATGGAGTAACTGAAAACTTCTCAATAAAAACTCAGTTCTAATCCTCGGTTCAGAAAGGGGATTCCCAGCTAGCCATATTTGATTGCCATTGCGGGTATCCCAACAGCCATGTGATAAAACAATGACCCGCCCCCAATTTTTGTTGGTATTCACCTCACCTATGGCAAAATGATACAATTGGAGCTGGTTTTTTCTTGGGTCTAGCAGAGTCTAGCAGCAGGATGGGCTTTTTCGTGGCACGGAACTTTGGTGGAAACCGGAAAATGGGCTCAGATCCTGTTTGGGATTTATTGTAAGTTTTGGAGACCACTGGAGATTGAGCCACAAGATCCTATGGTATCGGTATGAGACTCCAGTGGACTCACAACTTTTCAAATAGTTTTGTTTTCAATATTGAGCCGTCGTACTTATCTTTGAAGTCAATACTTTTGAAGCGCGGTCATAGGGAGGCAGTAAGTCATCTTATTTCCACATCCTCAAGGAGACCCACTTCAAGACCCTTTCACAACTATGACAGCCAGGGGGCCGACAGAGATACTAAGAAATCAGCCAGCCACACCAGCACTATGCAGGTTGTCATTGCGCACAACTTGCCGCTTCCAATGATGACTCAAAAACAGATAATGTACACGAGACTTATCACTCTGGGGCTGGAGTCTACCATTGGCCAACCTCCTATGTTGATAAGGAATTTCCATTTGCTGTTTTCAAGTTTTGAAGCTCCGAAAGGTGATTGAGTAAGTCAAGAAATGATGCACAAAAAAACCACCCTCAGCAACCCGGCTTCATGCATTTGAAAGAAAATCCGATGGTTTGCTACTGGATCGACTTGCGACCTTTCTTTCAGATATATACCGCCGCAGGCACGTAGCTTTTGTTGGTACATCATGGAGAACCACCATGGATTTTGGGCATACCTACTGGAGACTTTCTCAGCGGCCTCGAAATTTTACCTGTTGTTTGCTGCCATACATGCTTATTGGGATCAAATGGAGGCTTACTCCATGATATCTCTCTCTCTCTCTCTTCATATTTGTAATATGAAATTATACACAAGTGTAATGATAGGCAAGCTTCAAAATGATACACAATTCGATGATTCGTGCACTTTTTTTGACACATTTTTTTCATTCGATTCAATTTGTATTTTTCGATGATCGAACTTAAATATACACAAGTGGCTGACTTGCTTTTACAATTCGGTTGCTACTCGGTTGCTAGCAAGGTTCTTGTGGAGAGGAGCATTGCGGGATGGTGATGAGGAAACTATGACGCACAGCAGCATGCGAGGCGCGCTAAATCCGATAAGCGCGATGGCGATTGCGAGAAACTCCGAAAGTTGACGTGGAACAGGAAAAAAAGGCCAATATTATTCAATAATCCAGCATGAAAATCATTTTCCAAAACCACTTTCTGAAAAAGTTCGTGCATGCTCACGCTAGTTTTCTGGTGTTTTCTTGGCTGTGCCTATTCTGATAGCTCATGCACAATACCAGAAGTTGGGCAACACCTCTGGGACCAATTTCCCGGGATCGCGGATCTTCAATTAGCTTGATTTCAGATTGAACATGTTGACTAGCTGGATACAACCTACAAGAATCGAGAGTTCAAGCCAACAACTAGACTGGACATTTTTTTGTACAAACAAAAAAGTGGAGTCACTAGCTAGTTAGTCTGATTAGAGTCAAGCTCTAAATGGGACAGAGGTTTTTTAGGATTCACCAAGCCTGGATGTGCGGATGACCAACTGGATACACAGAAGAATACTAGTAGGGCGCGTCAAGTTCAGTGGGCTCAGTTTTCAGGTTCTGCATGGATATTGCACAGAAGTGCAATCGCAGCCACCTAACCAATACACACATATACACCACCTAACCAATGCACATATACATATAGAATCATATAGAATTATTCATGATTTTATATAATTGATGATATATACATATATTAATATAATATTATACATACACGTGGCGTTTCCTCCGCGTTTCTCCATTTCTAGATGGGGTGGTCTTCCCCATCATCCCATGGCCCTCCGCCATGGCTTGGAGGATTCCGCGATCCCCACACGCGGAGTGGAAAGTTCAGCTTCTGGGACGACCAGTACCTTGGAATCCCAAGGGATGGAGGGCCTTCTAAAAAGCGTTGGAAAAAGCCATAGAAATTGGGAGATTGTTTGGAGAAACCCGAAAGAAATTGGGGTATAGAAATTTCGCCCTGAGATTTAGACTGGTACTTCCAGTCTACCTGAAAATGGCCATTTGGCCATAGCTGGTTTGCCATACCCCCATTGACTAGTTCGATACAGCTATCATACCCTCTGGTAAACTAACATAGCTATGGAAAATCACCATTGTTAATAGGTAAATCAACTATAAATGAGCCATGTTCAATAGCTATGTTAAATTACCAGAGGGTAAACCCTAATTCGCCTACTTGTAAACTGACTCGGTCAACTTGAAACCAGGATCATTTTTTTTCACGAAATACCAGGGACCCTGAGAAACCCGGTAAACCGTGTAATTTTTCCTCGAAGCACGCTTGTTGCGTATCCTAGTGAGTTCTACGGCATTTCATTGCAATGTGGTTGTGAACTAAACCAACATATTGAAGGAATATGTAATGGGAGGAATAAGGCGTACCAATATCATGCCTCAAATGAGGACACCCGTTTTTTCCTGCGGGGGTAGGGATGATCATGATGATCCTCATTCGGGTAGCTGCCGTGTGATTTGTGAATCAGGAGAAGTCAGTTGAGAGACATGAAGAGACATACTGACATAATAGTGACATCATGCTGATTTGTGTAAAGATATGGTCTTTTCGGTCTTGTTTTGGAGTGAAGTCCGACTGTCAAAGTGCTACGATCCAAAGTGCGACTTGATTAATTATTGTACTTCATGTGTTTGCTTGGGGTAACAGTTCCCCTTGAAGTCCAGATTCCTGGATCCTTTCTGCGGTGGAACAATGGGCTCATGGTATCGTATTTGGACATTGTTTGCACAAGAAACGTTTTGCAGTAGGACGAGTGTATGACAACTGGAATAATTGAGATCTTTGGGTTGCGGTACCAATAGTTTTTCCGCAACATACGTGTCATGGTCAAAAGTGTAGAGGCCGCCCGCTCAGAAAAATATATTAATAGCAAATAATATGGTCATATTAGAAGATTGAAGAATATATTCTGCTTGATTCTGCTTGGTTTTTGGCGTTGCATTTGCTATCTAACTATGCGCCGCTCCAGATCCTGATGCTTGGTTAACCCCTTCACAAGCACTAGGTAAATGAATTGTAAATTATGATAAATGGTATACTAGATCATACCAAATCTATTTTTCCAAAAGGACATTGAAGTCATGCATGCAAAGGGCTCCACCTGCAAAATTACCCTTCATGAACAATAGGTCAATAGGAGTTCGATTAACCTCATTCAAAGGGGTTGACGGATCTCTAGATTAAGAGCACCTATATCCACAATTCAAGTTCTATTTGGGTTTGTCTGAAAATAGAGTACCTCATTAAATCTTAGTAACCAGTGGTTGTTTATCTTCATCCGCATTAAAATTGTGTAAGATTGACATGTTTGGATTGTACCGATACTTGGAGGGTCATTCCACTTAGTTCATTAGCCTGGTTTATATTTATGATAAGTCCCGGATTAGTGGGTTATCCCAGTTGCAAAATGGGCTATAGCCTTAGTTACTAGCCACTTGATAACCAGTCGCATATATACATTGCCATGTATAAACGGTCATTCTATACATGGATTAGGCCTCTTTTTTTTCCTAACCAGTGGTATACCCCCAGCCTGGCCTGGAGCCCACGTCTGGCACGGAATCAAGGCAGAGCCGGTGGCAGTTGGCAGACGCGATTGCCACATGCCACCAGGCATACATTGCGGATCAACACGCCAGCAGCGAGTTGCTACTTGGCGAAAACAGTTTTCACCACCGTCACCTGCTGAGTTTGGGATCTCCCCAAAAATCAAACCATTTGGGGATAGATTTTTCGATCCCATGGCTATTTTAGGGGATGCTTTCTTTTTTGGATGGAGTCTACTTCTGAATGTAAATGATGGCTTAATTGACCAAAACCGATAGTTTCGTGGGTATGTAATTAATAGGTATGCAATGGGTATATGATAGGGCATATACTGACATTTCCCTACTTAGGGGTGCAGTTAATAAGTCTAACCATAGGATTTGAACTCCATGAGTAATACACGCCCTGTAACTATGGTGAGTCCATGGTGAGGGCAATGATTCGAAGTTGGTTAACGACCAGGCCCAATCTTAGGTTAATGGTATTCCATGGTAGGTATCTGTATATTACAAAAAAGGTTTCATCAGCCAACTTATAATTGGCTGCTTCCTGTGATGTATTGAGATATTTTGAGTTTTACCCCTCACCGCAAATATCAACCGCAGACGACTTGGGAAATGAACAGCTTGAAGACAAAAGAGTCAGACACTGCCAAACCATTGTTGAGGATATTAAGTCTATCTTTATCTTGCCTTGAGCATGTGAATATTTTCAGAAATCTGACCACCAAGAATGTAACATCAGTTTGTCTACCCCTAATGGGGCGACCCCCATATCATCCATTTTACAGATGGTTTTCCATGAAATAAACTATCCACCTAGTGGGGTACCCCATTGTAGGAAACCCCCAAATATATTCAATTATTGGATGATTTTAACCAATGGATGATTAATTATTAATATAATGATTAACCATCACTTATACCGCTTATTCTGTATAGTGTAGGAACCCCCATTTGTTTTAATTTCCAACCGGCAAAACCTCGTCTCTGAGGAAACTGTTCCTGTGTGAGCACCCCACAAAGGTACAGGCCTTCGTCGAGGACGGCAATACCTGGTAGCTGGCACATGTTCCAGGGAAATGGGATGAAATGGGACGCGAACTCACCAGAAAAGGCGTTTTGGAAACGGAAAACAATGGTAAAACCCCATGGAAAAAACATGGTAAGACCCATGGGATCACTATGGAGAATTGCTTTGGACATGGAGCTTTGGCACTACTTGAGCTGCACCGAAAGAAGTGCAAGGCTCTGAGATAAACCGGATTTTGCTAGTCCCAAATCAAGTCCCTTATAGGCAAACCTGGGCTAGTTGTAGCATGTTGTAGCTATAGTCTTGTTGCTATTTTCATGGTGAAGCGTTCTAAACACCCGATTTTCGTTGTATCCTTTCCTTTCGGCCATGGCCCCACTGCTGCCCTACCCCCTTTTCGTAGGACATCGACATTCTCGGAGGTCAAACTGGCGGCACCCCGGAGATCATGAAACGTTCAGATTCGCTGGAGTATGATTTCGAGACTTGGCGAAATCACCGGGGCCCTCTCGGCCGCCAAGGTCACAAGGGAAAATCATGTTTTTTGTTGGGAATCTGTCGGAGTGATTTAACGGGATTTTATAGTGATTTAATGGGATATTAATGGGATATTAATGGGAATTCTGATGATGTATGATGATTTACCCTCTGGTTTTGTCAAAATAGCTATTGAACATGGCCATTGAAATAGTGGATTTGCCCATGAAAAATGGTGATTTTCCAGTTCGCTATGTAAACGTTTACCAGAGGGTATGTATGTAATTGTATGTAGTTTGTTTCAGTTTTGGGGAGCTATTACATGGTATTACTAACTTTGCCCAGACTATGGGACATGGACAAAGCCACGACAGAATGACCTAAGACTCTTTTCTGGGTGGGTGTTTAATGCCTCCAAATCAAGAAAAATCAGGCAAATGGGCGAAATGTTTTGTTATTGGCTTGACAAAGTCAGCGACTTCGTGCCTGCCTCCACCCGAAACAAACACCTCCGCTTGATGTCGTCGCTTGGGAATGCGAGTGCTTATTCTTCTGGTGCATCCGCCAATAGAACTTTTGATCTCTATTTGTTTGGAATCTTCATGTTGTATTTCAACATGGTCACAATGTGGACCTTACATGATTTCAGATGGTTTGATTCGTAAAACTAACACCTTCAAAATGGCTGTCCGATGCAAAAATCGCAGAAAAGGACCCCACTTCACCTTCAACTTAAATATCCCCCGATCACAATTTGATGCGGCGAATCCAGAGCAGGGAACTACAATTTGCAACAACCATCTGAGATGACCACGTCCCACAGCACTTTGTATCACCAACGTAGAGACGTAACGACCCTGTCCGACTACCCAAAACTTGTCGACACGACCGCGTGCCAGACTTGGAGCTCAGGAGCTTTTGAAATATCGCGCCAAAGAACTGAAGAAAGTCTTTCCTACAGCGCAGATGAGGGTGGCCGTCTATCAGGAGCCGAGCGAGTTGCGCGGGAACATGCTGGTTATGTTGGGGGACGATGGTTGAGGTAAGCCCATATAAGCGAAAATCTTTAGGCATGTTTTTATTGTATGGACCAGGATGGTACTTGAGGGCGCATCCTAGGAATCATGAGTGTTCCCTACACCCCAGATTTCTGGGGTGTATCCGATCCCATGCATATAACATACACATAACTGGTTGAACTCATCTGCTTAGTAGCCACTGATCATATATGGGATGCACATCCAGTGTGATGATTCAAGTTCGGGTTCAGCCTCGTCTTGGTGGGATCAAAAAGGGATTGTGATGGCAGGTGGCTGCCACCGAAAAACCATCGATTCTTGCTGCTTGGGAAAAAAACATGTCCTGGATATGCCAGAGATTTTGTTTTGAAATGTTTTGAATAATTATTGCCACCTAGTTTCATGCTGTCTACTATCACCCACAATGAGAATTCCCACCAAGGACAAGTAGATTCCATCCGCATTGGCAACTTTGGAAGCTTCTGGATTATTAGCAGGGGTGTTCCAACTTGTGATAGATGATATCCACAAGTGGGGAAATGGATGAAAATGGGTCATTTTTTACCCTTCTATATACACAATTTACTTGTATCCGGGGTGTTGAGCAACCCGGCCCGGATTACTGTACATCGACTCATATATGATTTGAAAGTTTGGGATATCTTGTGCCTTCGGCAAAGGCCACATAAGTTGGGAGATGGCAACTGGTTTAACACCCAGTGAATACTGCAGAGATCAAGGGCAGTCCTCACCAGATTCGCAGATGCTTTCTTTCCCCAAGGCCTATGTGACATAGTAGAACTGCGTTCAGAATGAAACACACATATTTCAATAGCTTGGTTTCATCTCAGACAGAGGTTGGGGTGTAATCACCAGTCAGATCCGGTCAGATCCTCTGAATCTTTCGTTGTTTTTCAGCTGTAAACCAGGCCGGAGCAGATTTTTTGGCATCTTGGCAGGCCAGCGGATTCTACACTGGATCCGGAAGCTTCAAAGAAAGCTATCACTTGGTTTGGCGCCTTGCCTGGGGCGCTGGGATCGAATCGTAGGGAAGCTGGGAGATCCAACATAACCATTGTTTGAAACGATCCAGAGGCTTAAAACCGTGGAAGTCCTCCGGTTCTGTCAATCCAAGCCAATCAAACGAGAAAAAAGCAGACGACCCAGTGACAACTGGCCTAAGGTCATCTGAAGAAACCTTGGTTTAGTATCCATTCATCTAGGGGCCCCTTGTTGAGGTATTTAATATTAGGGGGAAAGGATTGCCCTCTGGTTATTTAACATAGCTATGGAACATGGCATATTTTATTGGTGATTTATGGGGATTTATGGTGATTTACCTATCAAACATGGGGATTCTCCGCTACTTGAAAAACAACCAGGTTGGCGAATATTCTTGGAAACACCACCACCCATTTTTCGTGATCCAGAATCAGAGCTTGGGACCCTGGAGCCATTAAAAAAGTCTCTGTTGATGGCTTCATGTTGGGGGTTATACTCACTAATTAACCGTTTTTTTTGTGGATTATGAAGTAATCCACGATAGGATACAATAGGAATATTTACTAATATACTAACCAACCAGTATAAATTATACGGACTTTGATATTTTTTAAAACATATTATCTGGTTCTAGTTTCATAAAATCATGAATTCCCAGACTTCCAAACCACCAATCCAAACCACCTTGCAAGCATAAGTTGAATAATAGGATGGGAGAGGGGTATTTTGCATGGCTCAAATGAGAAGTGATTGCTGAACCCTTTTTTGGTTGATGATCGGTTCGGAGGTTATACCCTTCTTATATTGGGCATTCTCATCTCCATTCAACTGGCCTTTCCTTCTCACCAATAATCAATATTGGAATGACAGAGGGTATGAACATTGCTGGTACGTACACGGGCACAGCATTGGGTGATGTTCAGTCTTTGGGGTACCACAAATTTTCTTCATACCCATCTCAATCCGGACCTCAAGTGATCTCACAGTACAAGATGGCACAGAAGGGAACCCAGATCAAGTCAGAAACTTAACCTTGAATAGTAATTTGCAAGAATCAGACAGTGAATGCCCCTTGCCACATGCCTAAATTTCTTCCATGAATTGTCAGCTGTCACTTTCAGAACGGATTTGAACTGGCATTTCGACTGTCAACTCAGTGTTTTCGCGGTTGTTTCTTGATGTTTGCAGACTTGGCAACAGATGAAAATCATGCATTGTATATATATATATATATAATTATATATATATATATAAGGATATAAACAAAATGAGTCTCACATAGCCCTGAGTTGGCTTATAAACCCTATGAACGTTAGATGTATCATGATATATCTACCGTAAACCCTATATATGCATTTTTTCCTTGGGCACCATGAAAGTTACCTGCTTCAAGGCCATGTATTCTGGTGACAAAAGAGCAAGCTGCAGCCGCCAGGACGGCCGTCTGCATTCCGCAAATCCTGTAGGGGTTTGGAATCGAAGATCTGGGCGTTTGATGTACGTTTTTTATTTTGAAAAACCGCAGGATGATTGGATGAATTGGATGAATTGGATGAGATGACGAGCAGATTTTTGGGATGATGTGACGGTCGCCTAAATCCAGTGATTTTCATCACCATTTTCCCTGTAGCCCTTGGCCGAAAGAAAGGGACTGTGGGGTGTATATATACCCTATTTTCAGACATACCCGTATCATCACACTAGGGTGGCCAAGAACAATGATACCATTTTTATTTGGGATATTCAAAGAGAACGGTATTTTTTTGTTGGGAAATGAAACGGTTTATTGGGAATTCTGAAAGGGAATACTGTATGATCGGATCTAGAGATTGATAACTATTGATAACATCGGATATAGTGTGTGCGATATCTACATAGGGGACGAACCAACCACAATAGAGATGTGCTGGGACATGATACGAATGCCTAACGTGGGACCCAGTTGTTGCCATAAATGAGGATGATACCAAAGCAACTCTTTAAAACTACTGGGATGATTTTGGGATAGTAGCTGAGAAAATATTTGGAGGGAATTTCCCATTTGAGCAGCATCAAAAACCTCCATAAAGGGATTTAGTATTCGGGTTCATGTAGGGAACCTTCCGCGAAAGCAAAACCTCCACGCGCGAAAGCCGCGCGAAAGCTCCGCGAAAGGAGTGCACCAATTTCACGCCGCGAAAGCCAAAACTGTGCGCGCGAAAGCACCGCGAAAGCCGCCGCGAAAGATATTGCGAAAAAAATGCCGCCGCGAAAGCCAAAACTGTGCGCGCGAAAGCACCGCGAAAGCCCTCGCGAAAGCTTTTCTATAGTAGAACCAGATCGCTACCCGGTTTACGACGCCGCTCATTTGGAGAATGGGATATGCAATTCCATGAACCAACCCCCATTATCAACCCTTTGGGGGACCTAAAAATCGTCCCGCATAGGCGGTATTCCAGTCAACTCAATTGGGGGATGATTTGCTGCTTGCCTCATTACAAACAGCAAAAAGGGGAAAACAATACTGGTTGGTGGTTTGGAACATTTGGATTATTTTTCCATATACCATCTGGTTATTTAACATGGAAAATCACCATTTTGAATAGGTAAACCATCTATTTCTATGGGCCATTTTCGTCCATTTTCCATGGCTATGTTAATAGCCAGAGGGTATTGGGAATGTCATCATCCCAACTGACTTTCATATTTTTCCGAGGGGTGGCTCAACCACCAACCAGAATAATTTTTCTGGTTTTCAGGATGTTTCCAGGTAGCCTCCAGGGAAAACAACGTACCCGGCCTGGTAAACATACAAAAAGCTATTGAACATTGCCCATTTATAGTTGATTTAACCGTCAAAAATGGTGATTTTCCATAGTTATCTTAGTTTACCAGAGGGGATTTTTCACACATAAACCACCATTGAGAGATGACTACGCACCTCTGAGAAACCCAGGGATGCCTCGAGAGACCATGCCTACAGAGGAAATCCTCCCTCAATGGGGGATTTATCCGACGAACATTGTGGTAAGTCAACAATAACACATTTAATTCCGTCAATTTTTGTTTGAGATGGGTTATATTGTCGTATAGTCGCGAAGTATGGCCGTTCTTGATGGAGATCATGAAGAACACATCAAAGAAACATGAATTCTCGAGGTCCCCTATTTTCAGACAAACCCACATGGTTTTCTCAGAGCTTGTTCGATCTTTTTAGGTGTTAGTGAGCATCTTGAGCCCCAAGTGAGCCATCTCATCAGGCTCATGTTCCAAACCTTAAATGTAAATAATTAATGAATGTACTGTACAATAAAATAATACGCGTATTATATGTACGTATATAGATCCGTAACGATCCGTATGCCTGGTTTGCCTCATGACAGGGACAACAAAAATCACTTCTGATACACTTTCGAGCTTCGGATTTTCGCGCGGAGGATTCACACAGTGAAGAGGTTTGAAAAGTTGAGTCGGGATAAGGACCTTGGGTAGGGGATTGAATTATGGCATGGGATAATAGTGAGATCAAATCGGGTATTTTTCAGGTAATACATGGGAATACGAATGGGACAATCATTGGGTATTCATGGGATTTTAAGGGGATTTTAAGGGGATTTGAGATGATTTTTCATAGGATATGTACCCTCTGGATAATTTAACATAGCTATTGAACATGACCATTTATAGTGGATTTACCCCCCAAAAAAGGTGATTTTCTATAATTAGTCATGTAAACGTTTACCAGAGGGTAACTGACCATATAACAGGAACATCTGGAAAAATACAAACCCCGCGATGGCACCGAAATGATCGTGGCTTGGTTTGGGGTCACTCTTCCGAGATGGCCCAACATTTCTGGTCGGTGAATTATGATGATTTACCCAGTAGCTTGGACTGGCCATTTTGACAGCAGACACAAAGCATAATTTTGTTTACCCTTTGGAAATGTTCGTAGAAATAGTTGATTTACCCATTAAAAGTTGTGATTTTCCAGTTCGTTGTGTTAGTTTACCAGAGGGTAATTACCTGGACGATTCCAATTTCGACCCTTATCAGCCACTTGGTGACTGTGAAGAGGGAAGAATCATCCACTTGTCCTTGGTTCCCAATGCAGGGGATTTTGAGGTCATGCATACACATACTGTAAGCCACATATGGGGCAAGTTCTAAACCCAGGGACGCACATTTTTGAGGGTTATATTTGGTATATTCAAACATCCTTTTTCTAATTTTTTTCTATACGATATATGCAAACAACATGCCTGATTGTTCTTAACTGGGATGTATCATTCCAATTGATATCCATAAATAGGGGGGACGTGGACATGTAACCTCCTGACATGACATGACACGACACTCCATCACATACATTACATGCATCACATACATTACATGCATCACACACACACACATTGCATGCATCACATACATTGCAAAGGTTACATTACACTACATACATTGCATTGGATACACATAATGCAATGCATTTACTGCATAACATAAGCTACATGTGTTGCACAGATTACATACACACTACACACACTACACACACACACAGCATGTATATTGCACACAGTACATCTCCTCAGGCTTTCCATTTCATTGCATATATGCAGTACATGGCATGGCATGACATGACTTTGCTATACATTACATTATATACGTTTGATTACGTTGCATTGTAGAGATTACACTTACACCCAGTCCGTACATGACATACGCTCCTGATATCGCAGCAGAGGGCCGGACAGATGAACTGATGGACGGACGGACAGACATTGCATACAGACAACCAGACATACATACGTACAGATGGACCAACACATTCAATATACACAATGTGATTATATAGGAACCACGTCAAACACTCCGGCAATAGGACATATGTTTTTCGGGACGGACATTGGTTTTCAGAAATTGTGCAAGCATGAGGCAAGCGATGGGACCCTCCTGAATGGCGATACTCAGCCGATACTCCTTTGAATATGTCATACCTGTGCACAGAATTATCATTTTCCTTTAAGCGATAATTACACAGAATTTATGTACGAACATATGGTAAGCGATGGGACCTTCCCAAATTTCTTGAGGTCCCAACTTCGTGAGCCTTGAGTTTCCAAGATTGCTGGTATGATCTGGTATGTATGTGCATATTGAACATATTCTGATTGCAGGTTTGGAACATTTTTTATTTTTCCATATATTGGGAATAATAATCCCAACTGACTAATATTTTTCAGAGGGGTTGAAACCCCCAACCAGATATTTTTTAACATATACGGGATTTATACAGGCAGAGATTTGCACAGCTATGGATGATGAACATCCCCCACCAATCGTCGTATCTGCTCGAGTGGCTGCGACAGGATCACCGATTGTCGCGGCTGATGGCAAAGATTCACGCATGCTGTGACTTGCCGTGAGTCACAACGAGGGCTTATGGTAGATATGTCTGGTTTGTGGTGGTTATACTGTAAATAAAGCAATATTTGAAAAAAAATTAAGCTCGGGGGGCACCACAGTGCAGCATGATTCAGGTTCGCTTGCATATATCTGTTTCTCGAGATCTAAATGGAACTTCGATCTTCATCTTTTGGTGGTTACTTGCTGGTTCACTCCCAAAGCAGTTATGATATCCTTATGGACTTGCGGACAAAGTTATACAGTATGTACTATGTGGAGCCGTGTCATCAGAACAATGCTGGACTGAAGTGGCCTATGGTGTTCGGACGAATCTTGACTAGGTGCACTGCTGAGTAATTCCGGAAGCTAATGCTTCAAACCATGTCCATTGGTACTGGGAAAACATTTAAGGTGGACAGTTTAATGAATACGTCAGTTTTTTACTTTGGCCATTATTGTTGGAATATGTCATGTACAAACCAGGTACCCTCCAGTAAATTAACATAGACCCTGCCAGTCATCGGGCTTGGAAGACTAGTTTCCACCACTATAAATAGGTCATTTTCAGGGTCAACAAGTTAAATTACCAGGGGGTATATAACCATATATTAACCATAATATACATATACCATATTAATTTAACATTAACCATCATATATAATATGGTTCCATATGGTAATACCATATATGGTTATTAACCATATGTATTTATTTAGCTAATTGATGTTCCATGCTACCGCTACGAGTTGTCGGCAAGATCTCGGAGCATCTACAGAAGTGGCTGCTTCACAGTTGTAAGTTGGTTATTTATAATCACCATAGACTAATATATATCATTATATCATAGATATCTGTATTATATTTATAGATAATATAATCATATATATATATAGACATATACATATGTATATATGTATATGCCTACCATGAACCCTAGTAAGCCTTGTTAAAAACCCACGTAGCGAACGACTCACGACATCGACGAAGTTCGTGAGGCGACAAGAACGCGTGGGCAACGGTCTTTGATGAGACGACCACCAGGCCATCGGTTGGTGCGAGGATGCCGTTCTGCGTGGCATGGCGGCACTGGCGATCGCCAACCCGGGTTGGTTTTTAAGCGTGAAATATGTTTTTTTGAACCATTGAACCATCAAACATATGAGGATGTAACTGATCAGTGATGGTTGATTGATGATGAGTTCGTGGGTTGTATTATCCAATCATATTGGATTCACAATCATCCTTTAACTGGCAATCTCTACTACCCAATCAAGACAATAGAATAGCAGATGGTTTTGATCACTGCTCAAGTGTACATGGATTGAATGGATTAATGATGGAACATGGAGATACTAAGCAACAACATTGGGTATATATGTGGCAATAGCAACAATCTGATATTTGGGTGTGTCTAAAAATGGAGAGTTTAGCCGCCAAAACTTTGGAGTCGAATCCACCCATTGTGACTTTTAATATCTTTTAATGAATTCCAAATTATAACAACCTCACGCGACGTCACGGTAGAATTCGACCTAAACCCACGAATTAAGCATGCCACGTTGATGTTTTTGGGGGGCAACAAATCCAAAAAACACGTTTTTGAGAAACCAGTGCTTGGGAGACTGGAGCCCGGGCAATTTTCTCAAAAATGTTGTTTTTGAGGTTTTCGCGACCCAAAAAGTCCAATTTTTTTTTGGAGAAACTTGGCCAGGCTCGATTCCCCCAGGTCCAAATCCGGTGGCCAAAAGGGTTCAGCCAGAGATTTCGGGGTTGCAGGTCCTAAACCATGCAGGTTCTCACCAGCAAGAATTCTTAAGAAACCAGTAGTTGGGACTTGGGGAGATTCGAATTTTGATTCAGGATTCCCTTTTCCAACGACCTAACGACCTAAAATAATTTATTATTTCCTGCGACCGAAACCTTATTTCAATTTCGAAATAAATAAATCGACCCAACGATCTGCAATTTACCCACATACATATGTAATACAGGTATTATGGGTATATATTCAACCACCAATTCATTTTTCTTGTATGTGTGTGAAAATGGGGTATACACCTAGGATGAAGGACTGTGTCGGAGTTCTTTGGTCTCCATTTGGTGAGACCACACTGGTCATATCCAAGAAAACACGATTCTGCTGATTCTGGATCATTACACATGAACAACAACATTTTAGTTTTAGATAAAACTGTTGTTTTTTTTTGTCAATGCGCGCAGCTTGTGGAATCCAGCGGTTGCAGATGCAGCATGTCTGAGGACAAACGATCAAAGCACTTTGGGTCCGGTGATTGGGTGGATGAGAACAGAAAGGTGCCGGTTGCTGGGAACATCCAGTGAGTCCAAGACTTGACTTGCAGAAGATTTTACAAGCAGAAGACACACACACACATATATACGGTAACGACATTTAAATATGTGGGGGGCGGGCCAGACCGCGAGGCCACGGAGGTAGTATGAAATACCAGTTCGTATATTTAAATGTAGTTACCGTATGTTTAAATGGATTGGATTCCGTATGTTTAAATGGCCGGGCGGGCCAAGGAAAACCTTCCCGGAGGTAGTCTAAAATACCTGTTTGTATATTTAAAAGTCCGTATATTTGAATGTTACCGTATATATATATATATGGTGACATTGATACTGCACATGCGTCTTGGGACCGCAGGAAAAACAGAACACTGGTTGGGACAAGACCTCTTTTTTAGGTACAGTTGGCCTGGAGACAATATCCCGTGTCACCCAGGTCTTTGCTATGTAGTCTTGCAAACATCATCAAACGTCACAATGTTCACACACGTTGGCGCCACTCTCCATGATGCAGAGATCCGAGAGGTGTTTCATGATGATGAAACCAGTTTTCGCCAGCGAGGAATCAATCTTGCTTAGTAACCTTGTGAATGAACTAACATAACTATGGAAAATCACAATTTTTCATGGGTAAATCAACTATAAATCGCCATAGCTATGTTAGTTTACCAGAGGGTAACCTTGTGAGTGAACTGAGTGAACGCAGCTCGTTTCCTAGAGGAATCCTTGTTGAAAGCCTGGCTGAGGATGCTACACTTGCTGGATGTTCCTGGATGCCTGTTGCTCTTTGAACAGCTTGGTCTTTCAAAAGGAGTGTTGTTCTTCCGACACCTTAAGCAATATAGTACTATCGGAAACAAATGCTCAACTTGCACGTCCTTGCTTGCATTGCTCTGAATGCAGATAGATATGCTGAAGTTGTTAAAATGGTGTTTGAATTTCTGCATCAAGTTTTAAATACATATTTTTTGCTTTGGTTTTCTTTGGTTCTATTTCTAGTTTTTCACACAAATTTGAGCACTTCTTCAAGCGTGTTCTGCAGCATTGAGAAGAAGTGCTGTTCCGAAAGTGATCCATGAGTGTGGGTGCAAGGTATATTCATGTAACATATGTATATATATGAGCTACCGGGTATATGAAGGTGGTATCAAAAAGTTGTCTAGAAAAGGAATATAGATGAAAAGTGGACTGAAACCTGGGAAAAGGATGGAAAAGGAAGCCGGCCCCCAAATACGAAGCCTACATAGATATGCCACTTTCCAGCCTCATAATTGAAACACCGGCTCATATGTACGTGTGCATGCGTTGTGCATGGATGACGTACCCTCTGGTAATTTAACATAGCTATTGAAAATGGTGATTTATAGTGGATTTTCCCATTAAAAATGGTGATTTTCCATAGTTATGTTAGTTTACCAGAGGGTAGAATCCAGTGGGATTCTCTTTGATTCCCTGGAAAGTCGCTTCCATGTCAGGTGCTTCCCGTCGCAGAGCTCGAATTTGATGATTTCGGTGATGACGGTGATGACGAAGTTCTCCCGAGCGTTCGCATTGTGCACCGGCCGGAGGACACGTTGCCGGGTGCCGGTGTGCCGTGGAGATTTGAACATGGCACAAGTTCTTGGAGATTTGCGGTGTAAGTGTAAGCTGTGTGCCATGCTGTTGGGTAAGATTATAGGTTGTTGCGTAAGTTACCACCTGCACTCCTAGATATATCTGTAGTCAACAGTCCGAGTATTTGCCGGGATGCACATTTCTTTGAGAGCTATTTTGTGGTTGTCAGGGTACTAGGGTTTGACCCAGAATACCCAGACGAACCCGGTCAAAAGCGCAGAATTTCGAAAGGTTGCATGGCAAGCATTGAGCTGATGAAAAACTTGAGTGTTTCGGACGGTGCTAGCTTGCTAGCAGGTGTTTTCCCATTCCCCAAGAATAAACATCCACCCCAAGAAGATTTTTCTTTACTCGTGAATCTACTCCTTTCGGTCCTATGCTGCCTATGCTGGGGGTCTCTTAGTAGGGCTATGATTTTTTTGCGCTTTATTTTGAATATGTCATTCCTTGGGGGTGCGTCCCAACTAGTGTGCGGTTAACAATCCATCAATCTATAAGATTCAATGTACGGTGTACGTTTTTGCTATGGTTAGTACCTAATCAGTTACTCTATCATTCGGTCATAGTGGGTCTCTCACATCCAAGTAGGAGCCTTGCTCTCTTGAGAAACTTGTGGAAACAATCCACCAGGATAGATAATTTGAGACCAACTGTTTTTGGCAGAAGCATCCAAATATTGTTGGTTTAATTACTGTAATTAACATATATACCGTGTGTGTATTTATATAAATGACGTGTCTAGGATATTTATATAGCAACTGTAATTTTCAGCAAACATTGCGGCATATCTTTCGAATGGCGCACATCCACGCTTGTCCTGCACAGGACAAAACAACCTCTGAATGGATCTATAGAGGGATGTGCAGGAGATCTGAGGAGGAACAGGAAGATCAGACGTACTGTCCTCCTGGCGAAATTTGCCAACATGTCATGGAAGGGGAAATGGCGTGGCCATGGTGATATATTTTTTTCGGACTCCCGCGCCTGTTTGGCTGAGGGAACATGGCTTGAATTTGGTAGAAACATGTAGAAACCAAGTTTTCCAGCTCCAACTTGTTCCGGGCTTCGCGTAGTGAAACATTTCCGTGACATTTTTTCCGATCGGGGGACACTGGGAGTGCGGACATGGCTGGTGATGAATATATTTCATAACTTTCAAAAAGATGCAGACAAGTACATCAAGTACTCATTTATCATCATTTATCACCATTTTTTGAAACAGGATTTGATTTGACCTCCCAAAAATCTATCATCTTGACTCTTCTTGGGGATGACTTGGCTCCAGTGGTCATGATGCCATAAAATTCCGATCAGAACAGGCCCAGTTACCCTCTGGTAAACATACAAAAAACTATGGAAAATCACCATTTTTCATGGGAAAACTCACTATTTCTATGGCCATTTTCAATAGCTATTTTGACATAACCAGAGGGTAGTCGGCCATGGATTTCCGTGGCCATGTCGCCAGGCGCTGCGGCACTACCACCGAAACCGAAGAAGGTCCATCGCTTGCCGGGCAGCGGCAGCGGCTCTGGTCGCGGGCCACCAGGGCCACCAGGTGGGTACGGGCCACATGGAAAAGGTGGTGCCTTGGTCGCAGTGGGAAATCATTGATAGATATGGGATGATTTATGGAATTTCATGGGAGAATCGTCATCTTTCATTTTATGGATCTGACCATCATTTTCCACAGGTTTGAACCAGCAAAAAATGTAGGGACGTGATTGAACGGTTGCTTCATGCTGGACGACTCACTATAGAGTCTATAGAGGGTTATATTATCCTTTAGGGGGATTATCATAAGCCAATCCACATGTATCAACCAGTGAACGGGGAATTTTCTGATATGGTTTTTGACACTACTAAGACAGCGATAAAGAAGTGCAGATCTGGAACACATTTGTTTTAATCTAGGCTGTAAACGGCGTGACACAACAAACAATGCCAGGGATCCAATCCAGGACCCGGACCATGTTTTCTGAGGTACTCTTGTGATTTCTTGTGAATCTTGACATGCGAAGGTCTTCGAAAGGTTAAGCCGTTTGTTCTCGTCAATGCTGAACTGTATGCTGGTGAAACGTTCCCATCATTCTTGTCCAAGTCACCGAAGTTAAAATGTCATCTTGTTTGTCGAAACACCCCAGCAAATACCACCAACGCTGTTAATTGCTACGTCCGAGCCTTACATTCACAGGCCGGATCTAAATCTAAACTGGGCAGCATGAAATTGCATCGTCCACTACTCAAAAAGAACAAGCAATCTCTCTCTCTCTCTCTGTGCGCTGCAGGCCGGACAAGAACATATATAACCCATTATAGCCCTTTACCCCAACTCGGACATCCCATTTCATTTAGCACATTCTGTGACTGGAAAACAAACTCCATGCCACATACCAATTATGACTGGTTGAGCCAACGATTCCGATTTTATATGTGATTTTCAATATGTTCACCACTTACAATTCGCACGTCCCACACCAGGCCACTTCTAGGTTTTTTTAAGTTTTGACCAAATTTGATGGGTACCAAATGAGAGTCAAGGTACTGTGACTTTGCCTGAGAAGAGGGTCAAATACCTAGAACATCCTAGAACGACATGGTTTCCCATGGTTCACTCTACTTCCACCATGTCCATGAGATCTGGAGATTCCTTCCAGTTTTCTCAGGCGGCAAAGGTGGAGGAAAAGGAGGATGGAAGGGCGGCAAAGGCGACCAGGGACGGAGTTACCGCGCAATTTCCAAGAGCGATGGGCAATAAATACAATAAACGATGCTTACATACACGATAAGCTCCAAAAAACTCCAAATTAAACCAACTGAGTGAACTATGGGGCCCATCAAATCCCATAAATTCCATGCAAATCCTATGAAATCTCAAGAAATTCCTTGGTTTATCCCATCAAATCTCCTTTTTGATGCTTAAATCTCTGGTCCCAGCAAGGACATGGAAAGCCTTGGCAAGGCCACGAGGAAAGTCAAGGAGATGACCAAGGAGGCCTTGATTGTTACGGCGAGCTGGCTACGTCCACAATTACAGTGTAGATCTCAATATACAATTACTGGGGTTTCCTAAGACTCGTAGCTATTGGAAACGGCCATTTATAGTTGATCCTACGTATAAAAAATGGAGATTGTTCATAGTATCCCTGAACCAATCCATTGACAATCCCCAAAGACAATTGGATTCAGAATTGGACTTAAAGTCATGGGGCTTCCCCCAAATCATCCAACGTTGACTAAAAAAAATAGTATTGACACATATTGAAACCCATGGTTAAAAGGGGATCCCCATTTTAGGAAACCTCCATATATGCTCTATATCTCTATATCGGATTGATATCTGAGTCTGATCATCTGTATTCAGCTGGCCACGTATTTCGTCAGTTCAACTACCATACAGGATGGTGCCCCCCAGTTATAAGTTAGTTTCTAAACCCCATTAACTATAGTTATATCTGCCATAAACCATAGTTATGGGAGTTATAAACCAACTTAGCTAACTATGGGGCACCACCTTGTAAAGTTACCTTTTTACCCTCTCAGGTTCCCAGGTCTGATCCTATCCAGGCCGATCGCGCACTCCACCACTGAAGGAACGCAGATTCTTCTCAGGTCGCTGCGCGGAAAACTCCGGTCGTGTTGATTCAAGTTATAGGTGGGGTAGTAAATGGGTTATAGGCCCAGTTATAGGTATATAGGGTAAGTAGGGCTAGTACGATTATTATAACTGGGTTGAACTCATCCATTTATCAACTGGGCTGAGCCGCAAAGTATGTTTGGTTTTGCGATTATTTCATGTTATTTTTGGTTGGTTATGAGAGTTATGAACGGAGGAATATACCAACCAGCCAAACATCCTTGTTTACTGCAGGGTATCCAGCATTGGACATGTGACACAATAGTGTGACTACCAAACACTTACTTTACAAACCTGAACTCATCTGAAAGAACGGCATTACGTCGCTCAACTGTGATGAACGGTACCACCTTTTTTCTTTTCAGGCGCAAACTTGTAAGTCTATCATTCAACGCACCCCTCCACATGATGCGTCGGGACATTGCTTTCCACCAGAATGGAAATACATGCTATATCTGCTTGGTGGTTTGGAATGGTTTGGAACATTTTTTATTTTTCCATATAGTGGGAATGTCATCATCCCAACTGACTTTCATATTTTTCAGAGGCGTAGACCAACCAGATATGGTGGTCCACTCCGAAAAAACCACAGGGGAGTGATCTAATGGCTCCAGAAATGGGCTTGGAAAGCGCTTGTGAAAACTTCGGATTTCGGATCTTGTCGTTCTTTTGATACTACCTCTTGGAAGAGCTAGATCTTATCTTTATTTGTGGTTGATATGTTCATACGCCAAATATGTGTTTTTTTCTGGAATCATTGCTACTATTATGATTGTTGGCATTATCACTTTTAATTTCAAATTTATAATTAATTGTTTGTTATTAAATTTATCATATTTAGTTTCTTCCAGATCACAAAAACAAAATTATGGTTTATGTCTAAGTGTTCCCTTGAGGACAAAGGAGTTTATGGGTGGGTATGGACATTGCACATTTATTGCATGTCCATCCTTTCTGATGCTACAGTGGATGGAAGAAATCCTGCACCATTTGGCAACCGTTAGGTAACTATGAAACACTGTCAATAATGGGATGATCAGGGGATGAAGCATATACCAACTGGTGCAGGCTTTCTGTCATCACAGTATGTTTCTACCAACAAAAGTGGACACGTCTGAATTCTCTGTTTCCCATTCTGTCCGTAGGCACAACGAGTCAATTTCTGGACGGCATCCGGGCGAACACCAGCTGCCACTTTGAGAAGACACTGGGCGATGCAGTGGCCGGATGCCCTCACGTTCTCTTCCAGCCGGATCCCCCCACTTGGTAGATAGTAACTGGGGTATACTGGGGTTTTAAGCCAGTTGTAAATGGGAGAAACCAGTTAGGAGACTTCAGCAGGTTAAGAAACCATCGTGTTTTATAGGCCATTTATAAATGTGAGACACGAATCGGGGACTTGCGATCAGAGGGGTTAGAAACCAGTAACTAAGTGAGGTGATCCCTCCATGCATTAGGGTGCGATGCATCCAAGTACGTGGGTCCCCTCACTCTTTGACATAATCCACTATATGGGTATGGATCAATACCTATTTTCATACCTGTCAAGTGCACTCCATGCACCATGGGTCACAACATAGCAATTCATGGCCCTGCCGTGGCTATTTACCCTTAAGGGAGGGAATTCACGCGCTGGATGGCGCTACGGTGACGCAACCTCCTCGTGAAAGGTTGCTGCAGCTGACGCTGCTTGGTGGGACCGGACTTCGTGGGCTGGCTACCCCCCGTTCTTCGCATTGGTAGCGGAGCCAGCTGAGCTTCGTGCTCTTGGCTCTGTTCCGCCTTGCTCTGCTCTGGAGCCTGCTGAGCTTCGTGCTCTTGGCTCTGTTCTGCTTTGCTCTGCTCTGGAGCCTGCTGAGTCCTTGTGCTCTTGGCTCTGTGCTGCCTTGGAGCCAGCTGAGCCTTCAGTGCTCTTGGCTTCGTTCTGCCGCGGCCCTTGCTGAGCTAAGGTCCTGTGCAGGCCTTCTGTGCTTTGCCCTGTGCAGGCAACCGGTGACTGGAAACTACATCCTGGACTATGTCTTCAGCGGCGAGTTCAGCTGGTGACACCGCGGTGACCAAGGACAACTATGTGCCTTTGTTCAGCGGTGCACCCAGTGACTACCGCGAGTGGCGGAAGAGGATAACCCTCTACATGACCAAGATGAAGCTGTTGAAGCGGGTGGCGGAAGGTGTCCTCAACTTGATCTCCAGCCTGAGTGGAACAGCCTGGAAGGTTGTGGAACTTTCCCGCTGGAGGATGTGGAGAAGGGCGATGCCTTCAGCCGTCTGATGAAGCTGCTGGACAAGGCCTTTGAGTATGACAACAGAGTTCAACTCCCTGGCGACTTCGACAAGTACTTCAGTGGCTTCCAGCGACACAGCGGCCAGACGTTGCTGGACTATTGCACCCTGCATGACGAGCTCTACAACAGGTTGGCCGACCACAAGGTGACGTTGCCAAACCAGGTTCAAGGGTGGCACCTCCTACGACGTCCTGGCTTGACGCGTGAACAGCGTCAATTGGTGCTCACGCAAGCCCCTAGCCTGGAGAAGAACAAGGTTCAGGAGACGCTCTTCCTGGTGCTGGGCCAAGACTACAAGACGGTGGCCGGACACTCCAAAGGAGGTCACCGTGGAAAAGGCCGTGGTTATGCAGCCTTCTATGGTGATGATGAAGCCGATCCAGGTCAATGGGATGAGTCCTACGACTATGAAGCTGAGGACTACTCCGCCCACTATGAGTACGACGAGTACTACACGGAGTACAATGACTCACCGACCCACTATGAGTCTCCTTCGCACCATGGGTACTATGAGGAGGACACCACTGGGTTTGACGATGATGCAGCCTACTACGGTAATGAAGCTCCTCCTGAAGACCCACAAGAGCAAGCTGAGGAGTACGACAGTGCCTTTGCGGCCTACCTTGATGCTCGCAAGCGCTTCAATGACATCAAGCTGGCACGTGGCTACTTGCCCATCGTCGCCCTCAGCGAAGCTGGTGCTGGACTTTCCCCCGGCATTTCGCCAACAGCCTCCCTTCGTCTTCGCCTGGTCGAGGAAAAGGGAAAGGCAAACCCAAGGGGAAGAACAAGGGCAAGGGTGGTCGCACGACCGTGAAGTACCCACCACGTGGTCCTGGAAAAGCTGACCCTCGTGGACGTGCTCAAGCAGCCCTGGCATCTACGACGTGCCTGAGGTGTGGACAGCAGGGTCATACAACCTACAACTGTCCAGTTCCAAAAGGGAGCCCAAAGAAGAGATCTGCACCAACCGAGTCAGTGGTTGGAGATGAGCATGGACTTGTCATCTTCTTGGATGACCGTGGCCATGAGCGACCTGACTGCTCTATGCTGGACCCTGGCGCTTCAGCATTTCTGAGCGGCTACGGTCCCTTCAAGCGCTACGTGGAGAAGCTGCGCGAGATGGACTTTGACATCACGCAGCTGGAGTTCATGCGATGTTCTCGCACCTTCCATTTTGGAGGTGATGCAAGCTCTCAGTGCCAGTGGACAGTGAAGCTGCCGATGTTTCTGGCTGGCCAGTTTGGCTATGTCCAGATGTACCTCCTCAAGGGAGAAACGCCTATGCTGATGGGACGGCCGATCATGGAGCAACTGGGATTGGTCCTGGACTGTGGCCGACGACGCATCAAGCTTGGCGACATGGACTGGCAGCCCACTGTGATTGGAGCCCATGGCGAATACCTTTTGCCACTTTTGCATAACTACGACTTGGCCTGGCTGGCTCACCCACCAGCGTTTGAGCTGATTGCCCCAGCCGACACCGAAGCCAACACCACGTCCTTCAAGGAGTTCAACAACATGGAGAACCTGTTTGAGATGGCCCCAACTGAATGTGCTTCAAATGAGGGCATGCGCCCTATGCAGCGCCATCTGCTGGACACTTGTGACGTCCACTTGAATGAGTTGGAGAACAGCCTACATGCCTATGTCACCAACGAGTTGCACAACTCTGGTGACCGACCTCGGGTCTTGTGGGAAGTGTACTGTGGTGAGGCTCGAGTGGCCAAGATCGCCGAAAGCATGGGCATGACTGTGGAATGTTTTGGGCCCAACACTGGATGGGACTTTGATGATCCTGAGCACCAACGTGCCTTTCTTGAACGTCAACGTGATGAGATGCCAGATGAAGTTTACATCAGCCCTGACTGCCGGCTGTGGAGCCAAATGCAGAACCTTGCGGCTCGAACTGAGTCACAGCAGCTGGAGCTCTACAACAAACGAGCTCGACACCACAAGGTGCACTTGAAGTTCGTTGCCCAGATCTACATGGAGCAGGTGGACAATGCCCGACATGCTCACATAGAGCAACCTGAACTTGCTCGCAGTTGGAAGACCACCGCACTCAAAGATCTTCCGGGCTACTTCACGATCTTCCACCAGTGCATGTTTGGCAGCTGCTGCCTCAACCCTGTTGGCTCATGGGAGCTTGTGAAAAAGGCAACAGCCCTTCTGACCTCCAAGGTCACGATGTCAGTGGCAATGAATCGACTTTGTGATGGGCAACACAACCACTGTGCTTTGGAGGGATCTGCAAGCGGCATTGGCCGCAGAACTTCCTACATGGAGAACTACCAGCCCAGCCTTGCGGCAACACTGGCCTCTGCGATCTACGCTCCAGATCCACCTCAACTATGGGAACGCGCTATGGCAGTTCCGGAGCAGAAGGAGGTCACTGGTAGACTCATCCAGTTGCAGACCAACCTCAAAGCAGAAGCGGTGCGAACAGTCCAACGGCTACACCGCAACTTGGGGCACCCGAGCCCAGAATCCCTTGTGGAACTTCTTCAAAGTCGAGGTGCTTCAGATGCTGTGGTTGAAGCCGCTCGCTCTTACAAGTGCGTGGCCTGTTTGCGCTACAAGAAGCCCAACAACCCATCACCAGCGACTCTTCGACAACGAGCCACTGAGTTGGGAGAATGTGTTCAAGCTGACGTTCTCTGGCTGAAGATTGGCGACAACAAGTTTCCAGTTTTGTCTGTGGTCGACACCGCCACCAAGTACCAAGTGGCATCTCTCCTGAAGTCCGAGCGTGGTCCCGACCTGATCAAGGGCCTCGAGCGATGCTGGATCAAGCACTTTGGCATCCCCACCAAACTGGTGACGGACGAAGGGAGAGGATGGTGTGGTACTGAGTTCTCTGAATGGACCACTGACTTTGGTGTCCAACATGAAGTTGCCCCAGGTGAAGCTCACACGCGTTTGTCTGCAGTTGAGCGCCGACACTCTGTCTTGCGCAAAGCGGCCGAGATCTTCATGACTGACCGCAATCTGGACAACACCACTGGAGTCCGAATGGCTCTGACCTATGTGTTGCCCCAGATCAACTCATCGACAACGGTGGCTGGCTTCAGCCCTATGCAATGGGTCCTGGGCAAGCAGGTGACACTACCTGGTGAACTTTGTGGTGAACGACTTTCACCTGGCCAACTTGATGGCTATAACTTTGAGAATGTTCTCAAGAACCGCACTGCCGCCAAAACAGCCTTGGCCCAAGCTGAGGAAGACTCCAAGCTCCGAAGAGCACTACTCCGACAGTATCAAGGCACCAACTTCCCAATCGAAGTTGGACAGCTTTGCCACTTTTGGCGTGATCAGAGAGAGGACAAGCTCACCAAGATCAGATGGCACGGCCCAGCACGTGTGGTGATGCGAGAAGATGATGATCAAGGAGCACCCCACACCTACTAGCTGGCTTGGAAGACACAACTGCTGCGATGTGCACCACATCATGTGCGTGCTGACCTGATGTCCATGGCCAACCAGATCGAGGACGCCAAGGAGGCCAAGAAAGCCGTTGCTGGACTTCGCTCACGTGGTGTGACGCGCTTCTTGGACTTGGAGCGCATCAACAAGCACAATTTGGACGACTTGGATGATGATGAGATGAGCGATGGAGCAGGGGACGATGATGATGATCTCCAACCTCCACGCCAACGGCGACGCCTTGAAGGCCCTGCTCTACCTGCACAAGGTCTTCCTGCACTACCTGGCCTTGGCGACCCTGATGATGGCCCACGCACACCTGGGTACTCACCTGGCACTCCTGTGGATGAGAATGCCCCCACTGAGGTGGTCCCCAGTGATGATGATGCGATCCTTGTGGATCAAGATGCAGCTGCACACCTTCCAGTGCCAGAGCCTGATGAGCTTGAACCTGGACAAGAACCCTCTGTGCCACCGACACCAGCTTTGGCTGCTGCGTCGAGACCGGCTCTGACTTTGGACCCTGAAACGGCCGCTCTCTACGAGCCTGCCCCTGACG